AGCTTGGTGCCTTTGGCACTGAGCGTATAAGAGACGGCGTGTCTCTTTTGGTTGGTATCAAGAGGTAGTTTTCTAGCTTCTTAGCCTAGAAAAGGTTCTATTGACCTTGGGTGTACAATAAAGTACAAAGAAACATGGGTCTCGCTTGGTACCTAGCGTACCAATGATAAAGGAATTTTAGTATATATCAAAGCTTTCCAGTACAATCTCTGTAGTGCTGTAGAGGTTCTCAAGCTCACCAACGATGCTTGAGTATCTACCTTGGGAGTACATAGCTGATAAAACAAGGGAAAGGTACTTTCAAAGGGTCCTCGAGAGGTCCCGAAAGGCCAAAAACGATCTGCATAATGTTCAGTGGGTTCACTGAAGTGGTCACTGCAAGCTTTCGATGAAAAATTACCAAAAGAGCGTACCGCTTACTATTGAAAAGTTCAGAGATTGATATCCCATTGAAAGAAACGCAAAAGAGACCTTCGAGAAAGTACGAGCGATGTCCAGTGATTAGTGGAGGTGGTGTGCAGAGTCCAGACGAGGTTCAAAGCAACCGGAAGTCGAGGGTACAAGTGTACTAGCGTGCGCGGAAGTCGGCACGGCCGAAGCCATAATCGAGGGGTTCAATAATTGGAGAAACCGGAATTTGAGGTCGTTTTTGTCAGATAATACGGAATTCAGGGGTCCGGAATCGCACTCGACCAAGTCGCACGGATATTCGGTGTCAGAAGTCTGACAGAAAAGCATACGTGTCGCGAAAATGTTCGAATTTTAAAATTTTCCCACGTGTCGCGAGTCGACGGATCAAATTTGCTGAGTCGAGGGTTAAGTGCAGTCAGTGCACACTGATGCACTGGATCAGGAAGACAGGCCGCTCGATCAGAAGAGAAGAAAGAGAAAGAGAAGCTGACAGAAGAGAGCAAGGAAGGTGATAGAGATCAGGAAAGGCGGCGCCGAGATAGGAAAATCAGGGCGACCAGCTAGGAGGTGATATTGGTGCATGGTGCCAGGAACGGTAGGAGAGGAAGCTCCTGGGGCGGCACCCCACTAAACACCACCGGCATTGTCGTTAGAAAAATCTGATAGGGTGATTGATCGATTGACCTGGAGTATTTTCGTGCACAGCAGGAAATCAGCTGGCCTAGGAGAAGGGCACAGCTTGGAGCGCGACCAATTCAAAGATTAAGGGGAAGAGTAGCTAGGGAGCGCCAAGAGTTTGGCGGTGTAAACTTCACAAAACTAAAAAGGGGGTTTTGTTTTGTAGCAATCACGGAGCCAGAGAAAGTCAGCTCGCAGCAAGAAGAGGGGGTGGCGGCAGCTCAGGAGGGGGTTCCCTCAGCTGCCAATAAACCCACCACCCAGGGAGCAGGCACCGAAAATCCCAAAGAAGCATCTGGGGTCAAACAAAGCATCAAGGAACAGGAGCCAGGGCTGTTTGGGGACCTGTTCGGAGATGAAATCCAAGAAGATGATTCTGGTGATGAGGGGTTTGAAAAAGGGCTCGCCGAAATAAAAAAGCCTTTAGAACTTGAGGGGGGCCACTTTTCGAAAGCCCAGAAGAAGAAGCCGAGTTCCTAGAAGGGTGCGGCTTTGGAGAAGATCAAGAAGAGTCAGAGAAGCAACTTGAAGAGGCTCAAGCTCAGGAACTCGAGGAGGGTGAAGTCGAGGGTTACGACCCCGAGCACCCAGAGCTAGACACTGAAATAGAATAGCGAGCAGCGTCAGTAAAGCAACCGGAGACCTCAAAGCCAGGGACAGAACCTGAATCCAGAAAAGAGTCGGACTCGGAATCAGGATCGGAGTCAGATACATCAGGGGGAAGCAGGTCAAGCAGGGACAGTGAAATAGAAGCGTTACAAAACCAAAATCAAGGCCTGAAGGAGCGACTGGAGGCCAGCGAGAGAAAGGTGTCTAGCCAAAGCAAGCGTATTGGGCATCTTCAGGAGGCGGCAGCAGCTCAAGAGAAGGAGAAGCAGAAAAAGGGGCCAAGCCTCGCGCTACAAGCAGAAAAGGAGAAAAGCAAGGTTTTAGCGGCAGATAAGGAAAGGCAAAAAGGAACAATCGCAGGACAAGATAAGCGTTTGAAGTCTCTTTCCAGAGATTTAAGAGGAGCCGAGGAGCAGGTGCGGGTGTTCGGTCAGGAAAGGGACGCAGCCCGCGCGGCCGAGGGTGTTCAAGCGGAAAAAAGTGCAGGGCTGGGGGAGGAATTTTCAAAAGAAAGGGCAGGCAAAGGGCTCAGCACTCGGGAGAGGTCAGAGCTTGAGCTCCGGAAAAGGAAGGGGGGTATAGACGAGCTTTTCATCTCCGGCGTCCAGAAACTGCTGGGAACGAGGCACAAGGGAATAGAAGGGCTCAGAAAAGAAAGGAAACGAGAACGGGAAGAAGAAGTATCGAACAGCGGTGCGGAGGAAGCGGTGCAAGGGCCGGGCATCAAAGTCGGCGAAGAAGTTCTAAGAGGAGATAAGCCAGTGGAAGTAAAAGAGCCTGGTATCTATAGGCTAGAGGTACGAGGGAAGGAGACGGTCAAGGAGCCTGGACCGGAAGCAAAGCGGGTGAGGTTCCGGGTACCAGTAGAAGCACCAGAGCCCAGCAACATCGGGGGAAAGTTCGGCAGACCGGGGTTAAAAAAAGCGCCAGACAAGGTCTAGAGTAGCTATAAAAACAGAAAAATAAAAAAAGGAGAACGCCTGTGAGTAGAAAACAGATTCCAATAAAAAGTGTGGACTGTCTGTTCTCATCTCAAATTCTCATCATGGCACAAATTGGGAATGGCATGCTGCATTCCAGCAACATTCTTTTGGGTGAAACATTGGTACCATATTCTGGCTATGGTGACCCTAAGGCATGGTTACGCATGTTCAAAAAAGTAGCTGTGGTTAATTCATGGGGGGATGCCACATGTAAACATATAGCCTTTGTACTATTGAAAGGAGCTGCAGATCGGTGGCTCGAATCAAATGAAGATGAGTCTCGTAAGTGGTCATTTAACGAGTTTGAGGAGAAGCTCATATCGAAGTTCTCCCAGACGACCATGGATAATACTGTTCATGTCAATTACAGTAATGAAAGGAAACCAAGACCTAGATGGGGATATAGACTGTGCTATGCATGTCGGAAAAGAGGGCATGAAGCAAAAGACTGTCCAAATCCTACGAATGGTTGCAGATCAATCACAACTGCACCAGAATTGGGTATTTCGTCTGAAAGTCATCAGGACAGTGAAATCAAAGGGCCACCAAAAAAAGAGAGTCAGTCAGAGATTGAGCATGTCAAAAGCTCTGGGTTTTCATTTGAGCAGGCACTAAAGGGTTTGTCTATGCAGTAAGGCCGGTAGATACATATGGTGGGCTCCCACCCACCCTCCCAGGTTATTCAAAGGCTTCCGCTGCCATTATAGGAGAAGGTCGACGAGGACGTCTCCAAAATAAGGGGAGGAGGGGTCAAAGCTGACCATGGGCATAATCCAGGGTACTTCAGTCATAGCAGTCAGACGCTGGCGTAAGGAAAGCCAAATGAGAGGGTGACAAAGGAACCTTTAGCAGAAGGGTAGCTGAAATCCATAAAGGGGTTTTTCAAGATGCACTGTTGGGTTCGAATTGTATAAAAGCTGAGGGTGAAAGGCCATTTTAGCTTGTAAATATTGGAGGACCAATAGTCTAAGGGGGAAAGGGTTACAGCTGTAGCGTTCCAATTCATTCATGGTCAAGCCATGCACGAAGACCGCGATTCTCGCAGGATTCTTAGGGATTTTTTAGGATTTTCCACATACGATATGGTACTTGATAGCTTATGAAGGGTGTCGTTACCTTTAGCTCGTGCATGTAAGGACGTGGAAGAGTGTCGTGACCAGCTTTCGAACCGTTCAAGACGAAGATCGAAGACGAAGATCGAAGACGAAGACTTAGAATAATCGTAGAATCATAATGATTTTGCATGTTCAGATAATCGATGCTGCAGATAACATAGGAGTCTGTAATGTTTGTTTGGATTAGTTTATAAATAACTGACTGCATTCAATAGAAGCATTCTGAGTCTTAGATTAGCTTTCGAACTTTATAGAGTGATTCAAAAATCTATAAAAGCCAGACCACGCCAACAATCCATTCATTAATTGTTGATTCAGATAAGTTCTTTCTTGAAACGGCCTTCGTGCCTTCACCAAAATTTTTAGCTTGGTGCCTTTGGCACTGAGCGTATAAGAGACGGCGTGTCTCTTTTGGTGGTTACAACTATATTGATATACTTCGATCCAGCTAGCCATGTGCACTGTCAACTGCGCTCGAGCGCGCACCCTGCGCGATCTGCTGCAGCGGACCGGCACCATGATCTAGTTCATGACCTGAACATGCAACTTCGATGCTCAGTAAGTTCAGCAATTCGTTACGACAAAAAGCTTACTACGTGTACATGCAGATTGACTGCAGAGATAGGCTAGCAGCGCTTGCGCTGTACGGTATGCTTGATGCGTGACGCATGTGCAGCCAAGATCGACTCAATCGTCGCGCTGGCATGCAATAGATTAAGTCGATTATGCATCTGACCGGTCCGATGCACTATAAAGAACAGCTTTTTACTTGGAATGAAATCATTTGGCATTGTCAAGTCAATCGAACGTACATGAAAACAAGAATCGCGACACCTTGCACGGATGAATTCTGCACAGGGTCACGCGTTTGCATAAACCCGGGACGACATGCAAATCTAGCTCTTTGAGATGAGTTGGAAAGTAAACAGGCGTTCTTGCGGGAGAGGACTGCAGACTTAAGTCAGAAGCATTTCAATCTATGTAAGCGAACCACCTTCAAGATCCGCGGTTCTACCGGAACATCCTGCCCGCGCCTCTGCCGATCGATGAAACACAAGTAAAGCGTGACATTGCATGAGCGCGCTTTCGAACCATGTTTGGATTCTTGCAATAACCAGAAACCTGAAGAGTACTCGAGCGATCGTGCTTTACAGCAGTCTTTGCCAAATGGGACTTTAACCTGCAGAGAAGAAGAAGTATTGAAAGTGATTGACCGTCCATCAGCATTCTCGTCAGCCGTTCAGGATCTGCAAGAACGTCACCTTTCCATTCCGCTCAGATCGAACGTCACCTCTGCATAGAGCTGGAAAGATCCACTTCGCTCTTTGTATCGGTTCAAGCGCATCCCCGTAATTCACTCTTCACTGGTTCTACGGAACGCCTCTCCAACGTTTCTCCCACAGAGTCTTTGTATCAAGCCTCGGATCTCAGCCGCGCACTAAGCGTTGAGGGCCTGAGAGAATGTTTTTCAGAACTGCTTACCTTTCATTGCAGGCTGCCGGTCCCTCCTTGGGCACGTTCCTTTGTGACCAGCTTTCCAAGCAGCTTTTTGACAGTCTGCAACAAGATACAACTGTAACTTAGAGACACGAATCACGTCGATGCATACAAGCCAACGGGAACCTGTCAAGCAAAGCCTCATCTGAGATCATGCATCTGCAACTCAACGACAATGCTTATTTTTACCACTAGATAGTCTGATTGAAGGAATGGCAAAGTCACTGGACCGGCCAGTGTCTGCTCACGAAATGACTCTGCAAAATCGCTCACCTGCGCTGCAGTAGATGTCGAGTAAGCAGCCGCGGCACATCTTAAACCTCTCGGTTTCTGGCTCAACCTTTTCGCAGGCTGGATTAGAACACTTCCTCTTTGAGACGGGAGGCTTTTTGGCAATCTCACTTCTTGTCGCAGCGGCCAGCCTTTCCACTCTGCGTTTGATTGTAGAATTCTGGTTTGCAAGCATCTCGAATAGCTTTAGAAGCTGAGCCTCTGTTAAGGAGTTCATGTCGGGACGGGTTCCTACGGGGAGGGCAACCTGATTGGTTTCCAACGCAAGCAAGCCCGCGATGACTCGTACTTCGAGACTGGAGTAGGCAGTAGAGGCCGCTATTGCCAGAAAAACTTCCGAAAGTCCTTCGCCGCTTTTGAGATGCTCTGTGATCCCTCCCTGCTTCATCATCTTCCATAGAATAATAATACAGTTCTGGAGAAGGGGAGCACAATCGGATTGCTTCAGGGTAGTCGCAATCAAATCAAAGACTTCGTCCAGCATGCTCCTATGCTCGGCCGCGGAGTACTTTCCGTTGAGGTGCGCAATCAGCACCAGCCCGCTGTTTATCACGGTAATCGGCGTAGGGTTATCTCCTTCCACGAGTTTGCCGCTTCTAACCATCTTCGCGACCTCTCTAACAATGTCCAGGTAAAACTCCTTTCTTTTCATCATGAACCTGGTTGCTTTTTCTGACCACTGAGTCAATGCATCAACTGCTCTGACGATTGCTCCGCGTGCATCTGCTACCGGATCTCGATCAGATTCTTGCGTCAGCTTTGCTAGCGATGGGTGCGCCGCTTGTTGGAAGAGGCCTTCCAGCAATGTCAGCAGGACATCCATTTCCTTCAGGAAGAACCTGGCGGTCCTCTCATCTACCGTCATGACCCCAAGTACTGACGCGTAGATGTCCACTCTGTTGAGAAAGAAGTCATCGGCTATGCCGTCAAATCTTGGAAGGAGAAGCCATTCTCCAGACACGCTTACGTCTTTCAAGCCCGCATGCAGCTCTTTACCAAACCCTCTTTACAGAAGATAAGAGGCGGTTTCGGCAGCCTTAGCCTCTCCCTGCTCATGCAACAGCTTTGAAAACATGTTTACAAACCTCCAAAACGCGCACAGGCTTCTCTCCAGGTCTCCACACGTTGCTTCCTTCAGAAATTCTTGAACCCAAGCAGAGTTTTCTGGTTTAGTGAGGTCAAAGGGTGCTTGCTCATCTTCGGGAGTCATCTCTCGGATTTCTTGCAAAGTTCGAGAACACTCCTTCCATTTCACTTCTTTCCGCTTTTCACCATCCATGTGTCCTGTTGACTGGAGCTGGATTGAGGGGGTCCCAATGTTTGCCCGCTATGTCTACAAAAAAAACCCTCGCAGGAGACTCAGCGTCTTCACAGGGCCGACGCAGCTAAAACGCCACCTGCAATGCTAGAGCGCGGGACGTTTGCAGGGAGTGGTCCTGCCCTTGAAGCAGCGGCCTTCTGATCGATCCCGTCCTTCTTTCTTGCCAAGTCTTACAGCCGAAAGCAGCAAGCTGCGCCAGATATCTTTGAACAGCCATCTTTCTGAGCACTGGACCTTGGTATGTGCATGCATGTCTTCCAGTCTCCCAGGACCAATGTCGGTGACATGCGAATACTACTATATGTAAGCATCGAAGACTCGAGGCGTCGGTCTGACCAAGTTTTGACGATAGGGACTCGCAATCTTGAAGATCTGATGTGAGTCCCGGCCAAAGCGTTTCTACTGTAGGGTCCATACCTAGGGCAAGCTAAGATGCTGCATGTGTCTTTGAGACGAGGGTATGATTTAAGCTCTTACTGTGGACGACTCTCCAATTTGCGCAGGGTGAGGCGCAACGACTCTGTACCGGTCTCGGCCTGGCACTAGTCGATCGACACGACGAGTCTGTTTTGTCATAACATCATCGTTGAAACTTGCAAACTTACAGACCTACGTCCTGTTTTGTACACCAAGACCGACCAGCTGCTTAGATGGTTATTGTTGCTTTCAGAGGCCTTTATTAAGATCAGCACCACTCAAAAACATTTTGAACCTTGCAGGCTTACATGCTACGCGGCGGCGCTTCCTCGCACCTTCGACCATCTTTCCATATTGTAATCTGACTGCAAACGGGTGCATGGTTTCATAGTTGTGCAGCCGAACATGGCACCGCGGGGTGCAGGAATGATGCCAAATTTGTGACCCACATGGCGCAATCGAAGCATGTAGCCGGTCAAAAAGTATATAGTATCTGATCCGATGAGAGATAGTCCTGAGATTGACCCAACGCATACAAGGACCTTGAAAGATACAGGAAGTCTGGAATGGAATATGCTAGCACGACAAACGACACGTTGATAGAGCTTCACATTGGTTCGGAGACAGGCGTCATCCGAGCCAAGAAGGACCCCTTGAAAGGCAGAGCAGCGTCAATGAGTCACGCTAGGTGAATCAATTTCAAGACATGCCAAATCATCGGATTATATTGCAGCATCTGGCTCTTCTGCCGATAAGATGGAAGCCAGGCACGAAATCGAGCGCGCTTTCGGACCGTCGAGGTTCTCGCAAACAGTACTATTCTATTTGAGAGATGCTTAGTGGCGGGCTTTGACGCCCGGGGCTTTACCCTGCAGAAAGGAAAAACGCTCCGATGAGTCACATTCATTGGCTCAATCATTCTTTCTAGTCCTGCAAGAACGAATCCTTTCCAGTCCGTTCGATCAGACCGTACACCTCTGCTTGTCGAAAGATGCACCTTCTCTCTCTTTGTTGATTAAAGCATCCCCTTTGATCAGCTCTCGAGGTTCTTAGAGAACTTCTCGCGTACAAATTGTCTTTCAAAATGTCATCGTGTAGGCCAGCCGATGTCAATTGGGCACTACGGATTGACGGCACGCGACTGAACACTTCTCAGAGCCGCTTACCTTTCTTTGCAGGCCGCCGGTCCCTCCTTGGGCACATTCCTTTGTGACCAGCTTTCCAAGCAACTTTTTGACAGTCTGCGACAAGATACAATTGTAACTTAGATGCACAGTTGACTTCGATCCACAAAAGCCAACGGTAAAATGTCATGCAGAGCTTTAACAAGGATCGCACTTGAGCGACTCGAAAACTGCTCCGCTGGAGCAGACACGAAAGTCAGATACTTTCAACGAAATCATAGCAAAGTCACTGGATCGAGTGTCGGCTCACGAAGTGAGATTGGTAGTGCAACTTACCTGCACTGCAGTAGATCTCGAGTAAGCAGCCGCGACACACCTTAAACCTCTCCGATTCTGGCTCGATCTTGTCGCAGGCCGGACTGGAACACTTTCGCTTCGAGAGGGGAGTGTTTTTGCAGATGGGACTTTTTGCAGCAGCGGCGATCCTTTCCACTCTGCTCTTGATTGTGGGGTTATGCTCCGCAAGCATCTCGCAGAGCTCTATACCCTGCTCTTCTGTTAAGGTTTCTGAGTCGGGACAGAGCTCCGCAGGGAGGTTAATCTCAACCTGAAGTGCAAAAGCATAGAAAGCCGCGATGCCCCGAATCCCGGGGCTGGAGTATGCGGTACAGGCAGCAATTGCGGCGAAGCTTTCTGGTAGTCCTTTGTAGCTTCTGAGATGCGAGCAGACCTCTTCTTGATCAATTATTTTTCGCAAGCTGACAAGGCAATTCTGGAGAACGGGAGCACAATCGGACTGCATAAGGGTAGTCGCAACCAAATGAAGGACCTCGTCCAGCATGCTTTTCTGCTCGGACGCTGAGTAGACTCCATGCAATTTCCCGAAAAGTACCAGCCCGTAATTTATCACCGTAAGATAGTCCGTTTCGCTGGGATTACCGCTTTGGTGCATCTTCGCGATCTCTCTTATCATGTCCAGATACAATGACCTCCTTTTGATCATGAACCTCTGCGCTCTCTTTGACCACTCAATCAATGCAGAGATTGCTCTGATGATTGCTCTGCGTGCATCTGTTGCGGGATCTTGGTCCACACCAATGGATTGCGTCAGCTTTGCCAGCGATGGATGGGCCGCTTGGTAAAAGAGGCCTTCCAGCAGCACCAACAGGGCTTCCATTTCCTTCAAGAAGAAGCTGGCGGTTCTCTCATCCACCGTCAAAAGTCCAAGTACTGATGCGTAGGCCTCTACTCTGCTGAGCAAGAATTTGACGCCTGTGCGGTCCGATTTTGGAAGGAGAAACCATGCTCCAGACGATCTTGCGTCCTTCAGGCCCGCATGCAGCTCTTTAGCAAATCCTCTTTGCAGGATATACGAGGCAGTTTCCGCAGCCTTAGCCTTTCCCTGCTCATGCACCAGCTTTGAGAAGATGTTTACAAACCTCCCAAATGCGCACACGCTTGTCTCCAGGTCTCCACACGTCGCGTCCTTCAGAATCATTTGAACCCAGTCAGACTCCTCTGGCTTCGCAAGGTCAAAGGTTGCCTGCTCATACTCGGCAATCATCTCTAGGACCTCTCGAGAAGATCGAGAACACTCCTTCCACTTCACTTCTACCTCCTTTGGACCCTCCATCAGTTTTATCAAACTACTACAGACCAGCCGAAATGAGGGGGTCTTAGCGCCCACCACCAAAGAGACCTTGCAGCAGGTTCAACCTTTACACGGCCTCTTCACACGACACACTCATTCCGCCGTCTGTACTGCCAGATACTCCGAGCCAACTGCGCAACCTATTCGCAGCCACTAGCCTGAACCAGCGGCCTTCTGAGCGACTGCGTCCTCTTTCCTTCCAATTCTTGAGGGCAGCAAGCTCCCAGGTTTGATCAAGTACGAAGGTGTCTCTGTGTCGAGCACTGTACCGAAGTATGCGCATGCAGAAGAATCTGATCGTCCAGGTTCGTCTTCGTGACATTGCAGCGGAAAAGCGCTTCAAGTCGGCAGATCCTAGAGACGACTCGAGGCGCCAGATCTGACATACTTCGATGAAAAGACCCCACAGCTCCACAACTTCAAGATAGTAATTGACGGACCCTGAGCATAACTGCTGGGCGGAGGCCCAAATTAAAGCGGCTTATCCTAGGCTATTCAATTGTCGGAGAGTAGATGCGATCACTGACACTTTGTCGCGAATCAACCGTTGATTCGAAGTCTGATGAAATCGAGGACGACTAAGATATTTTCGCATGAGCAAATGATCAAATGCCACTCTGATGTTTTCGTTCCGAGTGCCACAGACATATCGCAGCCAATCGATCAGTTGTCGTCTTCAGTAGTCCACTGCGCGCGCTGCGCTTTGCAGTGTGCATCAAAGAAGGTTGACTTGTAATATTGCATGAAGGAGTACTTAATGTCGCCTCAAGGAGCCACATTAAACCCTGCAGACGGGTGAACTTAGCTCGTAACTTTGGCGCGCAAAGGGAAAAGTGGCCCCGTACGTGACGCGGTACAGGCACGCGTTATCAACAGACTTTCTCGAAGTAGTATACCGATTGGATACATCAATATCCGCGGTATAATGATGCAAGTATACATTGTGGAGCGCGTGCTTTATAGGGATTGAAAGGGGATTGTGCGCAGTACCAGGCTCACAACCGTCAGCGGGCCTGTGCTGAAGTGTCCACTAATTCAGCACAAGTGATCACAATTCGAAGTATGTTTCAGATGCATTACTGGCTTCGTAGCTAGCTATATAGGAGGTACTTACCAAGCCGTTTCAGCCGGTTCACACCATCTGCGACTACGTACCCATCGTCCAATCCTCATGAGGTATGAATTCATGACGCTCCACCATTGAATGCAACCACAGACGGCGCAACAACAGGCTGCCCAGTTTACGCAGCTTACATGTAAAACCAGCTTCGATTTGTTGCAATGGTCGCAGCCACCCTGCACCAGATTGCAGTCGTCCGCGGCAAGGCCGGATAGTCCACATGCATCAAGCATTTTGCTTGCTTCGAATCTTTAATTGTTCACTTGAAGATGCCGTTCACAGAAGCCTAGAGTACACGTACAGCGCCTTTCTACTATACTTGTATATTTCCTAGTGATCCACCGGTCAAACCTGTTCTCGCGAGCTCTAGCTTTGAAAGCATCTCAGATCCAACTCGTGCTGTACCGGTCCGTTCATACACTCTTTCAATAGGGGCTCAACACAGCGACCTGTCATCAATCTTTAGCTGCCTTCCGCTTCACCACCGCCCCCGTGAGCAGATCCCCAACGCTTCCAAAGCTGGGCCCTTTGTTTGCAAGCCGGCCAGCGCTGTCTTCTTCTCCTAGTGACGAAGCGCTCGACGACCGGCGTACTTTCGACATCAACGAATCCGGAATAACAATCTTGCCCTTACTCAACCCGGCCACTATTTCCGTGACGTTAGGACCACCTGCGACGGGCCTGAGGGGAGCTTGCAATTTCGAAGCGGACCGGCCTCCTGCCAGGGGGGGGGTCGCTGCCCCGCCGGATGACCCCCCGGCTGAGGACCGGTTGCGCGGCGTCGGGCCCCTAGTGGGCAGCGCCCCTCGGCCGTTAGATGAGCTGCCAAGAGACGACGAGTCCGCGAGAGAGTTGGCGCCATTGGCGCCTCGCTTCCTGGGCCCTGAACTGTCCAACAGAGTTTCCTGCAAAAGCCGAAGTGCAGTCGACTGAGTTCGCTATTCTTCAACGAGCGAAAGGCAGTCGACGCCTTTTGACCGCTGAATCCGTGTCGAAGGCAAAGATACAGGCTCCCTTGCTCGATGGGGCAATTGTCTTGAGAGGAGCGGAATGAAAGACAGAAGCACAATTCTTCTGGTCTTGAAAGGCGGCTTTTCGTGCTTAGAAGAGCCTCCTTCTCCAGCCGGTAAGGTGGACGAGAAGGAGGAGACGTTCGACGCCGAATGATCATTTCCTGAGACGTTTCAGGAGATACAGCAATACGCGTGCTACCTGCTACGATTGCCAATCTGATCCGTTACTGCTCGAACTATGTCCTTGACATTACTGCTTGAACTATGTTCTTGACATTTTCGGCAGCCCAAACACTTTCTCCTTCTGACGAAAGTAAACGTTGGAACCGAAAGAACCGAAAGAACCGTTTAGCGACAACGGTTGTTTCGGAGTAGTCTCGCTTTTATTATCTTGAGATACTTCATGTCCGGGGGACGGGTGAGGTTTCGTTTGGGAGTTTAGGGTGGGTATGTGAGCCGACAAGCCGTTTGAACACGTCATGATTTGGCCATTCGTTCCCAGTCAAAGGCCCGTGAGCTACGAGTTGAAGGCTATTGCCGGAAAGAAAGCTTAGACCAGCTTCCAGAAAGCGGTGGTTCGGGGCCAAGCCGCTGCACAACTAGCACCGTCGTTTCCTTGAAACATCAGGCAGGTTATATCGGAACAATGTCTGCAGATTTTAATGACGAGATCTCGAAGACTGCCGCTTCTTCACCGGACTCATGACCATCAACGATCCGCGATGCCAACGAGCTGCCAGAGACTCTCTAAGGATTGATACGATTAGACTGAAAGCTTAACAAACGCGAGCCTCCAGAGGTCAACTGCTTAGTGTCCGTCAACACAGAGCAATTAACCTCTGGAGCGCGCCCATCAGATTCGGAACGCACTCGACATTAAGAACCACCAAAGAGATGCTCCCCACCTTGGCGTTCTCAGCGGTGTCATCCGTTAGGTCGATTTCCTCAATCTCGCTGGTACCCCACCTCCCTGCCCCATTTGCATTAGCCGTTTTGCTGCCTCCATCTTCTATCTCCTCCTCGCCAATCCCGTAGATTGATGACAGAAGGTCTGCCCCGGCTGAGGAGCTCACAGTGGAACTCGTCGGTAGGATGTTGTTGGAAGCGCTTGTGCCAGCTCGCCGCGTGCTCGTCTTATTGGCCCAGTCGTCCCATACGTGGTCGTCGTCCTCCATTGTCCACCTGCTTATGGAGAGAAAGGAGACGCCGAGAGCTTGTTACTAGCTGTTCTGCAACTGAGGTATTTCATTCGTGCGTGATTCAAAACTAGAGACGACTCTACTTCTTCTTGTACGCTCGCAAAGCACAAGTTCTGCAGGGCGCAACCCCTAAGGTCACTCAGAAGGATGCAGAGAAGGGGCGTGCGATAGAGAGGTGCCATATTACTTTTGGGAGTTGCATCGAGGCTCAAGACAAGAGCGCCAGACGTTCAAAATTCGAGAAAGAAAGCATAATACAGTCAAAGGCCTGACAGGTGAGTCTTCATATTCTTCGCTGGCTTCGTGGCCTGCCGCCTTACATTTGAAACAGAGCAATATACAGGACCAAAAAATTCTTTACGGACGAAGCGACAGAATAAGCAAGCTCATAGCAACTGCCATGCAAGTCACCCCGCAGCCGATGTAGATGAACGATGTAGATGAACGATGTAGATGAACGAGGTCCGAGCCCATTAGTCAAACACCAATCACCCCTGTTTCGAATAACAAGCTCTACGGCCCCGATCACCGCACCTGCTGGACCTGCGCCCGCCATCCGAAAACGCCCTCCTCGATACGGGGCTCGTGGTCGCGCTCTGTTCATCTTCGCTCGCGGTGTTGCTGTGATATGTGTACATTTCCATGCCCTCCCCCTCGGAGTTGCGCTTCAGCTTCCCCCCGCGCCTCTTTTCGGGGCTGGCGATGCCGTAGTAGCCCCGCAATGACGACATGGCGGGGGTCATGCTCTTCTTGGGGTGGGGGCGGGGGGGAAAGGGCGACTCCCCAGTGCTGCTTGGACGACGTGAGGTCGAAGCAGAGTGGCTGCAAACAGGGATTTGCTTCAGATGCAATCAGCGAGGAAGCTCAGCAATGGAAAAAACAGGGAGAAAATGGGGAAAATAGGGAGCAAAACATGAGGGTATTTGTACTTGAAGGTGGCTCAAGAGTTATGCTGAAAGCTGGGTCAGCAGGAGCGTGGCTTTTCGAAAAAGGGAGTACATCATGAGTTTGAGTGGCGACCAGCGATTCTATTATGTCAACTCCGGGAGTATCTTCAAGGACTGTGGTGAACAGGATTATTCAAACTTGACCGCTGGATCAGATGGAGAGACCTTTCTCTACTCAAAAGAAAGACAAAGGGAACGTGCTTGTGTCAGCTTTGAAGACTTTTCACGACATGCCAGCTAGCTCTAATCTCAGTCTGGAAAGAACGACAATATCCGCAAAGCTTGAGAAAGTGTCTACTGTACTTCAAATGAACTCCCGCTTATAGCAGCCGTCTTGCAATCTGTGGCGCACAGCGCCAATAGCAAGCTCAATTTCTTCCTGGCGTTCTTTTGCTTTCAAAACTTACTGCTGGTCACATGGAAACTGGACTTGCATTCAGCTGATCCAGTAGACAATTTTCCCTGAGGAGCTAAAGTTAGGATCTGGCTGCTGCAAATCAGAGCTTAAATGCACAAAGAAGGAGCTAGGCTCACCTGGGGCTTTCAGAAGGGGTTTCGAATCTTGGTGGTGGTATTCTCAGGGTTTTTCTTGCAAACATGGCGGCATCCGTGATGAGGCCGTTGAGTCGCTTAACGTCCTCTACCTGCAAACATGCGGCAGTGGTCTGCTCTTGAATGGACATAGAATGGATCAGGAACGTCGAAGCAGGGGCAGTCGCAGTACATGTTGCTCTCCTCACTGGGGATATGGCGATACTATGTTGAGTTGCTTCCTTAACATGTATCATGTTACAGTCAGTGAGTCTCTTACATCAGCCTCTGAACCCACTCCCCGGCTGTTGCTGTCTCACATTCTTAAGCTGTCAGTATCTTATCCAAGATTCATATGCCACATGTGGCAGGTGCATTGCTAAGCAACTCTCTAGAGCAAGCCCGAAAACCCAGGTAAGCAGAAGCGTTACATCGTGCTTTGATTTACATGCAGATCATGCATGAAGCTCTCTGGGTGACTTAGACATAAACTTGCAAACAGCCTGGGCTGAAGCACTCCCCGCTCACAACAACCAGACCAAGAATGACTCAAGTTTGAGCAGATGCGCTTGAGAGACATACCTGGACCCCATACTTGATTGCAATGCCTGCAAGTGTGTCAAGATTGCTGACTTCATGTATTGTGTGCGTCTCCAGGAGATCGCTTTTCGTCCTGCCGGGAGAGAACATCCCTGATCTGGAGGACCCCGCAGTGGATGGCCTAGACTGCTCTAAGTCTCTTTCTGGGGGAGGGGACCACATCCCATCCGGCGACCAAGTACCCGGGCCGCGAGACTTGGCCTTCCCGGCATGCTGACCATTTTTCCGACTACCTACGGTGAGGGACTCTGGGTCTCGAACAGAGATCTTCTCCAGTTTCTGGATTGACTCGCTCCAGGCATCATCAGATGCGGGCCACATGCCAACCTCTCCCATGCCTCCCCGCCCCATTGACATGCTCAGGACGTCAGAAGCACAACAGCCTTCGCCGCATCTCACATTCTTGCCTTGCGGTTTCCTCTCCCTCTCTTCAATCGGAAATGAGGCGCCTGTTCTGTCCAGAGACCTAACGAAGACTGGATTTCAAGGCGAAATCTGCGTACTGAGAAATAGATGCTGGCGGCAAAGCAGACACGGAGTCTCCCTTCCCTCTGGCGTTATGAGGCCCACTGGCGTTGTGAGGCAGAAGCGGCAGCCATGGAAAGACAGCTCAATTAACAAATGTGGCGCCCTTGCTTCAGAGCAAGTTTAGGGTTTGAGCAGCCACCATGAGCCCACGGCAGACGGCCTCAAAACAACATCTTCGACGGCGATGATCCACCAGTTTGAGATACATTGTGCCAAAGCTTCGGCGTCGAAGGAGCTTCCGCAAGGCAAGGCGACCCCTCTTTATAATCCGCTGCCAGGACGTGCAAGCAATCATGGCAAGAACGTTTCCATTCATGAGGTGACCATTCGTGAGGGGGGCGCATCTGTGGCAGCAACGTTCTCTCTTCTGCATCATGCGCTTGTGGCTTGGCAGCTGCCATATAATACGGTAGCCGTGTTCCTAGCATACAGATCTGTCACCTTGCGGTTTCTCTCGCATCTTTTTACCTGAGATCCAAGCGCATCAGACGTTACTGACATTGTGCGGGCGAGAAAGATCAAGGGGGGCAGTGAAAGGGGTTTAGAAGCTGATTGGTGTTGAGTGGATGATCAAGCATCCTTCTCGGGTTTACTCTCAGTGAGGGAGCCTTCCTGTGAGCGGCACAATGTTGTCAGTTGTGGCGTCGCAGCATTGACACTCCTGATAGGAAGTTCATTGCGAGAGATACGGCCCCAACAAGGGCCAGCAGGTCGGCCGGTCTTCTCTACTAATTTGAAGAGTCCGTTAAAGCATTGCAAATTAGAGCTCCAATTGCACTGAGCGCTGACAGCGCTGCCAGCAAAGGCCGGGAAGTCACAAAAAGGATTGAGGCGAAGGGTCCTCTTCAGGTTTGGGGAAGGGGGGCATGGCAGGTTTAGGCACCGCATCATATAGGGACAGAACAGCAGAGCTCTTTTCCACCGCAGAAAGGTTGAAAAAGGTCCAGGGGGTTGGGTCGGGGCCCAGCACATCTGGTTCTACTTACGAACCACATGCAAACGGACACGCGCAGGCTCCGTCATGGGGGCAGGGCCCACAGCAGGCGTCAGTTATGCAGTCAGAGTTCAGCAGACGAGCTTCTTCCATTGGACTGTCGATACACCAGACCTCTCAGAAGCTTGCAAAGTTGGCCAAGTGTAAGTCTGTGCCTGAAGCCTCAAACATTGTCTTCCTCTTGGAGAGATCTGATTAGGTATGCCGATGTGCAGTGCCATTTTGGTGCTCTACTTTATTCGGTGGTTACTCCGCAGAAACACTAATGAAAAGGTTCCACAGCGTCTTTCATGCTGCCCTTTGTAGCAGGGAGCGTTCAGGTGCGTCAAGCTGATGTGCTGAACCAGTTTATCATTACAGAAGTTGAAACATCCTGCCATCTGCTGTTGCTAAAGCTACTTTAAGAAGTGTTGCTTTACAGATTCCTTTGTGCTTTTAGGGTTGATCCTACTCCTACCACTTACTTTAGCTATCATGTGCTTCTGCATCATACACCTTGTCTTCTTCGCGGGGTATGCATTTCCTTTACAATTGCAAGTGTCGACTACTCTGACCGGCAAGCTATTGTATTTGATTGATTCTCAATTGCGAGCTGAAGCTCATTAGAACAAACAAGGCGTTGAGATGCTGAGAATCATCCCACCAATGGCTTTCCTCTGTCAGCAGCTGCTAAACTGGGGTTTACACATAGATAGCATTGAACAGATTGATTGCCACTTGTGGCGCTGAGACCCCTTTGAGAACTCATCATGCTTTCTGCACCGTGTTTGACAACATGGGCGATCAGTTTCTAATGAATCAATTCCAGTTCGCCGTGTGCCATATTAAGAAGTTGTTTCTGAGGAATTTCTCTTAATTCTCACCCCCTGCGCTAGCAAACGGACTTCGTGCATGCCTTCTTTTGTTTCCAGCTCCGGCTTTTTCGGTTTCGTTTGCTCTGCAGAGGACATTAAAACCCCGTGATTGCATTCATTCTTGAATTTGACTATTGCAGAAATCAAACGCATCTTCAAGTGCCCTTTGATCCTCTTCCACAACAATGAATGTCATTTTGTCCTTATCTGCTAGATTGTGGGTACTGGTTCTGAGTGTTTATCACTTCTGATTCAAGGCATTTTCTCCTTGAAGCATTGGAACATGATTAGAAAACCTCATTCAATCTGTTTTCCCTGCGGGAGCCAATCAATCTTAGATTCCGTTATTACTCGTTATCCTCTTGCAGCAGCCTGTTGCAGTTCACTTTTCTGATTTTCTTGTCTCCAATGTTAAAAAGCATGGAGTTGCTTTTGAAAACCCAGCCTCAAAGCGAATACTTTGACACACTCCAAACCTTGTGTCCCTTGTCCCTCCCTGCAGTAGCAAAACGCACGTCCATGTTCGACGACCCCGCGCTCGAGATCCAGGAGCTGACGGCGGTGATCAAGCAGGACATCAGCGCACTGAACCAGGCCATCACAGAGTTGCAGTTTGTGTCCACGAATCAGAACCAGGCTGCGAGCAGCAGCAAGCAGAGCAGCGATCACACAGCAACCGTGGTGGATAACCTGAAGAGCAAGCTCATGGGGGAGACCAAGAAGTTCAAGGACGTGCTGACGATGCGGACGGAGGTGAGCGAGCATCGATCCTGATTCTAGAAATAATGAGAGCTGTGCGAGATCTGGCGTTCATCAGATCACTTTGCTTAATTAGCCCACCTTGCGGTTTTCAGATCACCTTGCGTTTATCAGGGGGGGAAGACGACTGTCTGCCTACGGGGTGCTGTCTTTGAGGCTTTGTGTTGGCCTTACGGTGATTGCAGATTGCCTCACCTATCTTTCAATGAGCGCTTTTGCATCACAAAAGGTGGAGGTGACGGCGTAGGCCTCCGCAGAACACCATGTTAGGTTCGTCAAATCGTGTGTTAACTTCTGTGTTAACTGCTGTACAAAATCTTCGTCAGCCCGTCTCTTGTTAGTAAGAGTCAGCCGTTTGCGGGCAGCCAATGTACGTCGGTGCAATGCCCTACCATGCTTGTTCTGAGTAGTGGAGTATGCCTAGTGCACCTTAGTTACATTTAAGGAACCCGAGACTGTCGAGGTATCTTGTTTCAAGTATGAATGGGAGCTTGAGGTTCTTGCGTCCAATCCGCCACTTTGCTTCCCTCCACTTGACAGGATCCATAAGAACCAAGGCATCCCCCTGGAAAGGGGACGCTGGGAGGCTCAAACATCAGCCGTTCCATGTTGCATCTCAACAAACATGCCCCAGAAACCCGGACGTCACCTCGTCAACCGCTGCAGATTCTTCCGATATTCTTACCCAGATTCCCTTAGTTTCCAGAGAAATGAGCAATCTCATACACTCTTCGAAAATGCAGACCAAATTTAACGCTCTTGATCCCCTCTTGAACCGCAGAGCTTGAAAACGCATCAAAGTCGGCGGCAGCTCTTCTCAGCGGCGGGTGCTGACGGTCGATCACGAGACGGTGCCAGCACTTCTTCCTCGCTCCCCTGGGCTAATGGCGGGCCCGCCAAGGGCCTCTTCTCAAACAAGTAAGCTTCTCTTGTGCTGCGCTGCAAAATACACTCACGAAAGAACGTTTCTGGATTGCTCATTATTGTCGAGATGGAAGGCGTTTGGGTATAACGTTGGGGTCAACCAAAGCTGGTTCTCACAACCTGTATAATCTATCCCGGAGAATCAGAGCCAGCGGGCCTCCCAAGGGATGTTCCCAGCAGGTCTACGTTTCACCTTGATGTGTGCTGCCATTGACGGACCGTCTTTCAGCCACCTTTTCGGGAATCAGTCCGAAGAGGAGCTGTACTTGATTAGACGCAACGGATTGGTTGACAACCAGGTAACGAAGCGGATGACTTCTCGGTCGCTCTTGGGGCAAGGTGCTTGTGCTACCATCTCTTGCCCGAATCGATGGCGAAGCCGTTCCAGAGATGCGGGCGAGCTCCGCTTCGTTTCAGTTCTGCATCTTCTTCCTATCGCCCATCTCTTCTCGTCTATCTATCGGTTGTTTACTTCCTGGGTTCAAAACCTTCGACTAGCTTTGCGGTAGTGCTTGTATACCCCGGCGCTGAGTTCCCTTGTCACTCTAGTTGCTTGCGACTTGCCGCAACCATTCCGATTTCTTCGTATCAGGCCGTGCTTCGTTTCGACCCCCCCCCCTCTGGTTCCCATTACAGCAAGTTTGCTCACACCAAGACCCAAATCATAAGATGCGCGCAGCTTCCTTTCTCTTTCCTCTGAGCAAGCGGCGCTCAATTAATATCGTCATTTCTCCTCTCTCTCTTCCGGCTTCCCAACTTCTCCCCTCTCTTCTGGAAGCGACCCTGCTTCATTCTCCCCCCTTCCCCAGGGAGCGCTCCAAGGTGGCCGCCCTAACGTGGCTCCCCATTCGTTTCTTTACTTGAATCGTTTCCCTCTTCCCCATTGAAGATTCCTAAACCCTCCCAAAATCCTTCAGGCGGCATCCGAGCGACCCCTCCTGCCAACGCATGCCCCTTCTTCCCAACCAATCTTTCCTGTTCAATCGGCGCACCACTTTTTTTGCTCCTCCAATCCTCTCTTCCCCCACCCCTAGAGATGACCCTTACTCTTTTTCTCCCCTCTCCTTCGGCGACCCCCTCATTCCACGCAATCTCCAGGTTGCTTCTGCATCCAGGAGCCGCTGGCCGAATCACTTCCTGCTCCTCATTGACTTCTCCCCCTGTCTAAAGCGACCTTGACTCGGTTTCCCTCCCCCTCCAGGCGGCATTCAGCTGTTGCTTCTCCAAGCATCCACCCCACTTGTCTCTGCCTCTCTCTTGATGTGTCTCCTCCCCCCCTCCAGCCAGCGCTCCCTCGACCCCTCGTCGCAAATCAATGTGCTCATCTTCTTGCCACTCCAGGAGCCGCTTGCCGCCTTCATTTCGCAACCCATGTCGTTCGCTTTCCGCACCCTTGCAGAGCCCTAACTTCTTTCCCCCGGTCCAAGAGTCCTGAACTTCGTTTACCCCCTCCGAACGGGGGGAAAAGAAAGAAAAGCTTTCCCCCCTGTCCAAGAAGTTCTAACTTCTTCCACCCCCTCCCCAGGCGGCGCTCCGGCGACCCCCTCCTCCCGACGCACGCCCCCCCCTCCGCGGCGCAGCTGCAGCAGCAGATGGTGCCGGGCCAGGACAGCTTCATGGCCAGCCGTGCGGAGGCGCTGCACAGCGTGGAGAGCACCATCGTGGAGCTGGGGGACATCTTCAGCAAGCTCGCGGAGATGGTGCAGAGCCAGGGCGAGATGGCCATCAGGTGAGGGGCGTTTTAGGGATGCGTGTCTGATAGGATGGGATTATAATGTGCTTTTATGGATGGAATTCTCGGAGAAAATGGAATACCAAGCGGTGCAAGCCCGCGGAGATGGTGCAGAGCCATGCAGAGGTTGGAGCCGGGTTTGTCACCTTGTGCTTGCTACATCTAGGCATGAGATGTGGGACCCATGGGGTTCTCGGTAGTACAAATCCGCGAACCGAGAATTTCGTTCAGCCGGGGGGAGATTTGGGGCATCAACGGGGGTGGCTTTCTTTTCCTGAGTCTCGATGCTTATTTTGACCTGCTACTCGGATGCTATGAGGTGTCTTGATTGTGCAATAAGAGGATAAACGCCAAGGGGAGAGGTGGTCATGAGGCGGACGTCGCCGCCATTGTTTAGGCCCGGGTCGTTATGGGGTATATAGGGAGTAAGTAGAGAATGATTTAGAGACAGAACGAGATTGTCATCAAGATGGCCGGGCGGAGCTTGGTTGAACTTCTGGGAATCTTCTTCCCTGTTCCTAAGCGTCCCGATCGAAATATCAGATCTTTTTCTGCCGGCCGTCCAGCGCCAGGGGCTTTGTCACCAATGCCTCAAATCACTTTGATTGTTCAACACAATGTCAGAGGCCATCAAACTTGTCGCTGCTTAATGGCTCGCAGATTGATCTGATTAATTGAACCATTGGACTGGCCGGACCTTTTTGAAACGTTCTGCTCATCAAACTGCTTTCAACCTTGGTTATGATTACTGTGGTTTCAAGACCGCCTTTTTGGAAGCAGGGCCTGAATCGAGTTCAGCAATCGGCTTGGGGCCTTCATGTTTCGTGATTGTTTCTGCTTCAAGATCGAAGAGAAGCAGTTTCATCCGTAAGAGTCGAGACCAATATACGCTCGGTCGTTTTTCTGCTGTTCGTTACGAAAGCTGGGCAATGCATAATGACCTGGCCTCATCAGAATTGTGACTTTTCCCTGTGCTCCTCGGGCTGGCGCCTACGGGTGCGCTTAGGAAGCAGTTTTATCTTTTGGTCTTCCCTCTATCCCCCGGAAGCGACGCTCATGGTCAGGCATGTTTCCAACTTTCTTGAACTGATCTAACTAGACGACTACCAAGGACGGACGAATCTCCAATCTGTTCTTTTGTGGCCCCCTGAACGATTGAAATTCCGCTGCAGGATCGACGAGAACATGGACGAAACACTGACGAATGTTGAGGGAGCCCAAGGAGCATTGCTCAAGTACTTGAATCGAATATCGTCTAATAGATGGCTAATAATCAAGATTTTCTTTGTCCTTATTGTGTTTTTGATAATCTTCGTTGTATTTGTAGCCTAGTCTAGCTAGCCCACCAAACGTCGAACTATCAGGGCAGCTATGCTTCGAAGTATTGTGTCACCGCCCGTTCAGCAAGAGAGAAGCTCATGCAGGAGCCCCAACTAACAGCAACTGCGTGCGATCCCCCGTACTCCTGTAATAGACAATTACCACCATCCTTAAGTAAGTTGGTGGACGGATGGCATGGTGATTCTGTATGTACGTATCAATCGTCAACTATAATATCAAAAGTCCCTACCGTGTACTTATGATGCCACGAGATCGAATTCACATAGGTATATATACTCCTAGCTCGACGAGTCGGACTTGCACATGTCTTCTAATTTTGATCGACCTTGACTGCAACTTAGAGCTAGCTAGCGTGTAGCTACAGTATATAGTAAAGATATGGGCCGTTGGATGACACGAGGCCGGCCTTGCAGGTAGGCTCGCATGCACGTCCGAGTCCACTAGCGCACGCAGCTCGAGCTGCCATGAGATGCGGGTGCTTCATAAATCAGTTTGCAGGGGCATCTCAATGGCAACTTGAGTGAAGCATTGAGTGCTCTAGGTTCGCCTTCTGCATCCTTGAGGGATAGACCTGATCGACAGGGATGCTTCATCGAGCTGCAATGATGTCCGACTGCATGGCAAATCAGGTCAGTGTGGGGCAGTAGTCATTCAGCGCGAGGGCGGAGCAAGGTTTGTCAGAGGTCAAAGAAAGGTGAATGGGGCATGCAACGTGGTGCATTGATGGTCGCCGTCGGACGGCAAGAGCGCAGCGCGTTAGCCGACCAAAAGACGTGGAGAGAGTGGTGAAAGTCAGAAAGGCATGTCCGCTTTCGCCGGTACGTAGTAGCAGATTTCTGCTAGAGGGTCAGTCTGGAAACAGTTGTTCAACCAGGCCTGCCAGCTTTTGGCCCAGAGACCCAAACTTCTTCCGCAGCGCACCCCTCTCGTCCGTTGTCAAACGCGCCGCCGCTCTCTTCAACCCGTTCCGAAGTGTCGTCACACACCTATCCATGTCGTCACACGCGTCCTGAAGCTCCTCCGGCACGCCCGCCGCACCGTCCACGTCAGCGCTTTCCCTTCCTTGCCGGACCTCGCCGCGCACCTCCACCCCGTTCGCGTGCGCCTCTTCCGGCGCAGGTTCGTTCAGATCGGACACCTCCAACAGAACCGCGGCCCGAACTGCCAACGCCTCCCCAATGCGCTCCGCCAGGATCCTGCCGTCCTCACCGAGCGCCGCGTGCTCCGCCGCACTCGACAGCAAGAAGTCTTTTCCGACGCTCCGCTCGAGGAACGTCTGCAGCGCGCGCATGAACCCGTCGAGCTCCTGACCACTGTCGCTCAGGCTGTCGCCCGCGAGCGCGCCCTCGAATCGACCCGCGGCCGCGTCCGTCGGGACGAGCCGCCACAGGTCCGTGTACGGCGACGTCGCCGCAAAGTGCGCGAATGACGTCAGCGCCACGTGGGCCAGCGCCCAGTGGCTCTCCCGGAGCAGCGCGTGGTACAGCTCCACCAGCGCCTGCAGTTCCGGGCCGGATTCGGGCATGGCAATGCTCGCGAGCGCCGCAAGGAAGTCGGCGAGCGCGGGCTTGAGGGCGGGCGGAACAGCGGAACCGGAACGGGCGGCGGAACGAAAAACGGAGAGGAGCGCGGGCAGCACAGCCCACAGCTGTTCGGAAGGGACGTGCTGTTGGGCGGCAATGAGGAGGCGGAGGGCAGGAGCGTGGAGCGCGGCAGGGGTTCCGCTGCAGGCCGTTCCGTTTGCCGTTCCGTTTGCCGTTCCGTTTGCCGTTCCGTTGGATATTCCGTACTTCGTTCCGGTTTGGGAGGTGAGTATGCGAACAGCGAGCTGGCCGGCGGCCTGGGCGAGGGGTTGCGATCCGTTGCGCTCGAAGGACCTGCGACGACGGAAGACCCTCGAGTCGAACCCTTTTCCGCGTATTGACCAAATGAGAAGCGAGGTGTTGGAGCCTTACGTGCGGACTTGGGACTGAACGAAACTTTTGAAGGTCTCAAGAGTTTTTAGGATCAGCAAATGGACGAGGTGCGAAGACTGCTCCAGTGGCGCTTGCTTTTACGATCGAGAAGATCGGAAGGCACGAGTTTGCAGAACGGCAAAACAGCGTTCGAACGCGTAAGTCAAACCAATCCCCAAGAAACCTCTGTAGAATGTCAACGTCGCGTCGAGATCGAGATTAAGAAACTTACGGGTCTTTGACGATGGCCTCCAGGATTGCGAGGCGACTCCGTAGCAGCAGCTCCTCTGTGCCGGTCGCCGTCCCCCTTCCTAGCTGCGACGCCTGCCCCTCCGCCGCCTTCAGGACACTGCTAAACAAAGCCCCTGCCAAATCCTTCTGAAGCGCATCAGGCAATCGTTCCGTCGGAAACCCCATCCGCAGAAGCGTCTCACAGACGCGGGTCTCTGCAAGGTCCTTCCGCACTGGCCCGACGTACTGCCGGTAGACCGCGCCTAGTTGCTCCGGCGCGGCAGCTCTCAGAAGCTGGTTCACGAGCGTGGCTACGCTGAAGATGGCGCGCGAGAGGCCTCGTGTCTCCGCAAATCCAGGGGGATCCCCCGCTGACGTCAGCGCCGCTTCAGACACGACAAGCCCCGCGAGCACCGTCAGCAGCGTCCGGAGCTGAGCCTCCTTCAGGGGGGTTTTCGACAGCTGGAAAACGAAACCCCACAGATCGTGTGCGAGCTGCTGCGTCAGAGGATGACCGCTGATCACAACCTCGAGGAGGAACCTCTCGACGCCGCGGCGCGTGACACTACTGCTGGACGCTTCGGACACGACCGCAAACGTGGCGAGAGACTGGAGGAGCTGAGCGTACGAGTCGGGGGTTTCAGATTGGAGACTGGGGTACGAAGCGGCTACTAGGTTTGGGATCTGTGGGAGTAGGCGGGAGAGCTCCTCCTTGACTGCGAGGCTGTACTTGGCGCTCTGCGAGAGGAGCGTCGAGAATGACGTCAGCCGGCCGGCAGGGAGAAGCGGCCCCAGGTCATCTGTCTCTGCGCAGGCCCGGTAGAGCGCGACCCCGCCTTGCTCTACATCCCCCCCGTCTGACAGCCCCTGGTTTCCTACCCCCCCGGCTGTGAGCCCTTGTTCTTGACCTCCCCCGGCAGTGACGTCAGCATCGCAGAGGGCTCGGACGAGAAAGCACTTGGACTCGTCAGGAACGGCGTCCGATTCCAGGAGCATTGTCAGGACGGCGATCATCGCCTCCGCGACGGACTTCGTCAGAGCGCCCCGCGCGCTCGCTGGGAGCGGTGAAACGGGGCCTGAGACGAGTGACGTCACCAGGACGACGAACGCGGCGAGCGAGCGCGCGCAGGGCTGGCTCGCGACGCTGGCTGGACATGTGGCAGTGATCCGAAGCACCGTGAGGAGCCCGTGACGGATCGGCCCCGTGAGCCGTTTGTCCCGCGCCTCGTTCTCCGCTTGCTCTTCGGGGTTTTGCCACATGCGGAGCGCGTTTTGGAGCTGAGAGGCACTGTAGTCGAAAAGGTGGAGCGCAATTGCTGGTACGTCGAACAGGACGGGTTCCAGGGTGGGATCTACTGCAGCGCAGCGTAATTGCTCCCCAACATTCTTCCAGAGGCGCAGCGCAAGCTGGGAGCGAGAGTCGAGGGCGGCTTTGGCGAAAGCTAAGGTGGCCTTGTGAGCTTGTGAGGCGCAGGTGATGAGACTGGGGCGTGACTGGCCGTCTGCTTGGGGGAGGAAGTTGCAGACAGCAACCACCGCAGAGAGGGTCCCCTCGAAGAGCTCCATGGCTGCCTTTTCAGTGGCTTCCGTCAGGGGTCGCTTGTCTTCCTGCACAGTAGGACTTTGCTCATTCAGACCCATGCTTGTTTATCTCGGAGATGAACCTTGGTTTCAAGGAGGAGAAAAGTCGTGTTCACGGTTATTCATGCTTTGATTCAAGAATGTCCTGCAAATCTGAAACTCTGGTCGACACTGTATGCGCTTGAGTCTCTTCCTTCTATTGCGAACCTACCAGTCTTATGGTCTTCTGTGGCGAAGTCATCCTGAGTGCGTGCTTTGGTGCAGGCTATTATAGGGCACACCTTGAGAAAAGTTGAATGAACGTGCACCTAAGCCTTGACGAAGCGCCATGCAAATAGGACCATTCAGACATTCGACTACAAGGAGACAACTGCATGCACCTCTCATCACTTTCAAAAGCTACTTAAGGGACAAACAATATATTGGGAACAACAACTCACCGCCTTGGGCATGAGAAGCATCTGCACCACTTGGACGCTTTCTTTCAGAAGGCTTGTCAGTCCAGCCACATCAGCTGCTGCAAGCTCTGCTAACAAGCTTGTCAGGCGGTGTAGAACCTGCCTAAGCAACTCCACTGATGAAATGAGGATCTGCACGGGAGCACACACCTCCAATTAGATGCAAAGAAGCACCGCAGTGGCCACTGCTTTTATAGGCACCTTACAGGCTGCTGCAACTCAGTTAAGTACTTGTGAATCAAAGGAGACTGAACGGAGATTCTTGGAGTTGAGCATGTGATGGTACCTTAGCAAGACCTTGCTGAATAAAGATTGGCTCTTGACGCACAACTCTTGGGAATTCCGATGCGTCAAATACAGCTGTTCTTTGGAACCTTTTTCAAGTTTTCAAATCCATTCAAATCAAAATGAGTCTACTGATATGAGTTCGGTTAATCACTTCAGAAGCCTTCGGCATCTACAGAGAAGGAGAATAGGGGGTTGGAATCGCACGTCAGTCACGGCAAAGAGTTGATTGCTTACCTCTGCATCTGGCACCGCTTTCTGTCCCTCTTCAGCAAGCCGAGCGCAGATCTGCAAAAAGTTTGCACTTTCTCTGACGCAAACTACGCTGTGCTTGCTGGCGTAATGTGGCCCAAGCTCTTTCACAGTGTGCAGACTGCTGACTACGGGAGCATCTAAGATCTCATTGGCGGATTGCACATGAGCTGATGACAGATTCATTGCATAAGCAAAGGAGTACTTCCTCTGGATGTAACACAGAAGCCAGCATGCAAAACTCCACCGATCCTCGCACGAAGATGGCAAACAAGCTGTGACCGGCTGGGGCTTGCAAAATCCGTACAACTTAGTCTCTACGGTTGCGTAGCCTCCAACGTGATAGACCACGTGGAAAAGAAGATTGTAAAGCATTTGAGAATACTGGCTAGGTAGTTTTACGTACCTCTTTTCCAGCATCACAGCACTCCCGAGCGTCAGCTTCTGACACTTGGCTGCCAAAAGTTTCCAGTCGCTTCCTTTTCCTTTGAAGGTCTGCTTCCATCATCCTGCCCGAATGTGGTTTCCCGTCTAAGTCTGTTCTGGATACAAACTGCAACATTGACTAAACCGTTCACTGCATGGTCACCACCGATTACAACTGCATCAGGTAAGTCAGCTATCGCTTGCGGGCAGAGAAACCCTATCAAGCTGCCTCCAAGTGAAACCTCAAAAGAGGGCCGCAGAAACTGCCACTGAAAGACTTTCGCAGCAACAAATGCTAAGCTGCACCTTCCTTGCCTGATATGGCCTGATATGTTGACAACAGTTCCACGAATTTTTGTTTGGGGACTCCACATTGACTTCCAAAAGCCCCTTCTTACAGGGAACAAAGCGCTACAAGAAAGACCTACTGATTAGGCTGGCTGCGGAAGAAAAGATCCGCAGCTAGGTAGGCGTTGGCGCACCAATGACTCCCGCAATGACTCGACGCTCCTGCCCCCCTGAGTTTGAACCGGGTTGGCGGCTAATTTCCGAACATATTCAATGATAGTGTTTCGGCAGGAGCGTTACCAAGTTCTGTAGGCGCTGCCAGCCAACAGAGGCCTAAAACACCGCGCCGAAGGACGAAACGCGGAGTCGACGTTATTCGAACCAAACCCTAATTTGTGGACACTGAGCCAGTCACTGCCGCGCCTTGCAGATCAGTGCACAGGGAGTGCACCAGCGTAGAAGAGTAGAAGTGCAATCCGACACGCTCTTCACGTCTGGAGCACTGCATAAGCACTCTGATTGCATTGCCTAAAGCTCTCAAAGAAGGCCAGCTTGAATTTCGACAGTTTGCAAACCATGGTTTGTTTGCTGGCGGCTAGCTTCAAACTTTCAAATGACGTTTGGGGGTTTTGACAAAGGCGATCAGGACTCCATCGGATGCATGTTTCATCAATCTTCATCGCCCAGATATGGTCGGGAAGCATGTCGAAGTCAGCGCTGCTGAGCACTTCAAGTTCGCATTTGATCAAAGCGATCGGGCAGAATGTTCATTCTATCTCGCAAACTTCGCAAAGTTCTTGTTGACTTCTGTCAAATCGTTTCCGCCGTGCAGCATTTCATATGATTGGCTGAGGGAAACCTTGCATGCGCAGTTGGAGGTAGTAGGTGAATCTGGCCAGCCCAGCGAAGTGCAACGCAGCGACGCAGGCTCCAATGAAAGCCTGCGAGTTAGGGCTGTGCGCGTGCGTAAGCCAGTGTGCTGACTTCCACGGAGAAATCAATCAAATGGCAAGCGCAACCACTGCTCCGAACGGTTTTGTGAAGCATGGAGCAGCTGCCTGAGACTGTGGTAGCAGAATGATTTCTCCAGCATGATGACATGAGCCAGCTGGCAGGGATTCTGCATGCTTCACGCACGTGACGGCGGGTCGCTAAACGCCCTCGTAACAAACATTCTTCTGAAGGGGGGAAATCTCAGGTATTCAGGGAAGCGCACTCGTGACTTCAGTGACTTCGAGCTCGGGGCCACTCGATGCATGGGATGCTGAGGTCCGGTGCCAAAAACTGCCCTCGTCTGCTAGTCGGCTTTTCAGCCTCAGGTTATTGTGCCTGACGACGAAGCAACGAAGCATTAGGTGGAGCAGGTGCGTGGTGAAATTCGAGCTCCGACCCAACGTCAAACGTTTGCAGTTCGATTTTTTCGATCTGATCAACAATCAACTGGCAGGCAGTGATCCGTGATTCAAAAGGGCACGGATTCTCTGATTCTCTCTTCCCTTTGAGATGCATGATCACGAAGCCTCAAATCTTATATTCAAGAAGACAAACTTGAAGACCGCGGAGGCACCACCGTTCCTTGTACGGACTTCGCGGAGTTTTAATGAGCGCAGCGGGGTGGAGTGATTCAGGGGCGCACTTCGTATCCCAAGGAAGTCAGCAACTGTAGCTTCTTCAAGCCAAGCAGCTGCGAGGCTCTGTGGTTGATATGAACGGCACGCATTGACCCTGCGACACGTTCATAGTAACGCGCGCGCGGTTGGCAAAAGGACATTGGCCTTGGGCCTGTTGTTCTAGCTGGAAGCTTATGTTCGAAAGGAAGGGCTTCATCCGGACTGCAAAAAAGGAAGCATGGCGCACAAACGAGCCGACCTGACTTGGAGAGAGAGCTCTCGACCTGTGCAAGACTTCCCTAACGAAGCTCCTGATATTGAGCGCGTCTCGTTCGACCGTCGTAAGCCGGAAGCCTCTGCATGGATCGAAGAGATCCTCAGGGAAGTCAAGTGCAATGACATGGAGAGAAGATTGGCTGCGCTGTGGAGGTTTAGACAGCTTTTGTATCAGGTGTTGGAAAAGCATGGACCGGTAACATGTGCAGAGTGCGTTTCGTCCTTCCTGCAAAGAGGTCTGCTCAAGGAGCTGCAGGCTGATTTAGTCCAGGCCAAAGTCTTTGGGGACTGGTTTCTCAAACTCAAAAGCGAGGGTAGGGTTTTCCTCATCAACAGGGTTGTGACGTATCTGTTAGCTCTTTCTGCCATGATTGTGGACGAGAGAACGGCCAGATATATCTTCACAGAAACCGAGGATCTCTTTAAACTGCTCGAAGAGCTCTTCGAACAAGCGGCGCTAGATTCTTTTGTGAGGCAAGAGTTCAATATTAGGTCGTACTCGGATTCAATGGATGCACGAATAGCAGTGCTCAGAGCAGTCTCATCGTTGGTGGAATATTCAAAACGAGCGAAAAAGCTCATGGCAGAAAAAGACGCCTTTTTTTCAAGCCTGATTCGAACAGCCACAGCGTATCCTCCCAACAATCCTGCGGCGTACAGCGGGCTGAAGCTGATCAGTGAGCTCTACAAATGCTACAACACGAGCGAGCAAAAGTCTCTGCTAGATGGTGTCCTGATACTCGTCGCCAAGTGCCTCACACAGTCCAGTTCGCTGCTCGTGATCCACAATGCCGTCAGAGCTCTGTTTGAAATCAAGGAGCAGGAAGACCTCTTCCCAAAGCTTCGAAGCATCAACGAAGTTCCAAAATCCTTCATAGCTATCGCCGCCTGTAAGACATGCAGTACGTATGAGCGGATCCTAGCAATCTTCTTCGCAACTGGCACGTCTCGGGCTGCTCGCGATTTATACTCTAGGGAACTTGAGCACATTTTGACAAGCGAACAGAAGCTGGAGCTCTTCGAGAGGCTTGCGGACAGTTGTCTGTCGATCAAACGCAGAGTGGAAACTCTAGCCGCTACAGAAAGAGATCCGATCCCCGTGATCGGTGACTTTCCTTGCCAGGTCAGAAAGTGTTTCGGTCCTACCTGCGGAAAGGCAGAGGAGGAGTCTGAGAGATTTAAGATGTGCCGTGGCTGCCTTCTCGAGATCTACTGCAGCGCGGGTGAGTATTGAAGCAAATGACGCAGGACTGTGCATCAAAACTCTATGCTGGATAGCGTTGCGTGCTCGGGCTGCGCGCTTCACCTGGTGACAAACTTGATCAGCATGCTTCCAGACGTACGACTCGGGCTTCACAAAGAATCCCATCCTTTTTGTCTCCCGCTCATTTGGCGTCTTCTTTCTTTAATCTGCTCAGCGAGTCGGTTGAGATGTGAAAGAAGATCACATCTTCTTGCAGAATGTCAGAAGGCCGCTTGGAGAGTGGGTCACAAGGATACTTGCCCGAGGAAAGATCGACACTCTTCGAAGACAGGTGAGAATTGGAAACGACATGTTTCTTGTCCCTCGTGTGGATCTCTACTTCGAACACTTAATGACGTGGCTGGGAGTGCGTGAAGAAAATTGCTTCTGTGACACCATCACTTATCACCTCATGCTCAGCGAAACTTCAATACCTGTTCAATGTCAAATGGATCCGATCATGGCCTTTCGCAAATCCAGCGCTGACGTCCCAGATTTAGGCGGATCGGAAAGCCATTTTGTCTTCAGATCTACTAGCGGCCGCAAATTTTGAAGATCAGGGAGTGACGCCCAAAGGAGGTCATTGCGTACAAAAGTTGCATGAGAACGACCGTACGCGTGACTGGATGACTGACCAGGCCCTTCCGTTTCTCCTCTGTAGGCGGAAGGAAAGTGCCTTCGACAAAGCGTATGCGTCGTTGTGACGAAGCAATCAACGTTCCCACAGGTCTGGAAAGCTTTTGATATAGAGGTCTTTCGTGTAAGTCTCATCAAGGACGCACGTTTCTGGAAGCAGGCGTGGCGCAGCAATCTTAAGTCAACGAGAATCGTGACTTGTCACAAACGCTGACCACTTATCCTATACATTTGTTCTCAGCTGTGGTCGTACTTGGCAGGAACGGAATTGAAGATGTTGCTGCCGGACCGTAAGGCGCGCTGTCGCTAGTGCAGATTGAATGAACGGATGAAGTTGCAAAGCTCTCCATGTGAGCGGAGCCCGAATTTCTACGGAAGATTTCTTGCTGAGCATCGGCCCATGATTGCCGGGGCCGGGCCACAAGGGCCTCATTGCATTCATGCTGACAAAATCATGGGATATTGCGGCACGTAAGGCTGGTCATTATATGTGCCGGGGTTGAATGCGAGGCCCACAATCTGCGTACGAACTCAGCAGATGCGCAAGCAGGTGATGCCCTTGCAATGCCGGCCGAGATGATCGATGAATGACTATGTCCGATAAATGTTCAATCAACACATGTCCACTTTCTGTGCATGCCGCGACTGGCAAGTCTGATCATGCTATAATGATCTAGCTAGCCATAGCTTAGTGCATGCAATGATGTACAATATATTGAAACATGTATAGCAGATTCTTGATGACTGTTCGAGAATTACAAAGATGTGCTCTTTCTGAGTGGGCGTTGGGGCCCATCGGTTAGTCTCCGACAGCATCTGTTGGCTTTGAACCGCAACTTCATGAGGTCTGGTGCCGCGTTCTCAGGTTTGGCAACCTTGCATGGCCTACATGACCTTTTTTAAATATCCAACGTTGAAATTGGCCATATCATGTCATTTGCATGGGCTGGAAGCCTCTTAGATCCACAGATCGGATTGCACGAGCATATTAGTACTGCACACTGACTTTGAATGAGCGTACAATCCGATGTATGAACATGAAGCAAGGCAAAACCATATTCTGATCTCCTAAGAAATTGACATCAACAATCGTGGCATTTTGTATTGTACACGATATCTTCAGATCATCATGACCAGTATTTCGAGTGGAAGTCGAAACTCCTCGGTCCGCATATTACAGAGATTCATCAGCGACGTCACAATGTAGCTTTCGGCTCAGGTCGCTAATCTGCTTGCGAGCATCTAATACTCCTCGCCTTCCTCCTCGCCCTCGCCCTCAGCGGACTCGGCACCGACCTCCTCGTAATCCTTCTCGAGGGCAGCCAGATCCTCACGGGCCTCAGAGAACTCGCCCTCCTCCATACCCTCACCCACGTACCAGTGGACGAAGGCACGCTTGGCGTACATCAGATCAAACTTGTGGTCGATGCGGGAGAAGACCTCAGCCACGCTGGTGGAGTTGGCAATCATGCACACGGCGCGCTGCACCTTGGCCAGGTCACCGCCGGGCACGACGGTGGGGGGCTGGTAGTTGATACCGCACTTGAACCCGGTGGGGCACCAGTCGACGAACTGGATGGTGCGCTTGGTCTTGATGGTGGCGACAGCGGCGTTGACGTCCTTGGGGACGACGTCACCACGGTACATGAGGCAGCACGCCATGTACTTACCTGCGAAGAGCAAAGACGAGGAGGTAAGACAGCTGCTTTGAAACAGGTCTGCTCTTTGTTTAACACTGATATGTGACTTTTTTGAACCTCATGCTTGCATCTGCGAGCAGTGCATTCAACGGAAAGCGTTCACATTGGATGCTCCAAGGAAAGAGCGCCCCCTGCCAGACCAGGCTCAAAGTAATCAGTTGCTCGAAATCGGATTGAGCTGGCAGCCCCCAAAGTGAAGGCCAGGAAAGAAAGTGCCAAGAGGTACAGACTCGTATCTTCTGTGTCCCCCAGCCTCTAACTCGATGACCATTGCTCCCGCCGGTGCTCAGAGGTATTAGGCACCAGAATCCGCTTCCCATCAGTCACTACCACACAAGACCCGGAATTGCTCTGAAAAGAACACCGCTCTTCTGTTGCCTTCTTACCGTGGCGGGGGTCGCACTTGGCCATCATGCTCGAGGGCTCGTACACGCTGTTGGTGATCTCAGCGACGGACAGCTGCTCGTGGTAAGCCTTCTCAGCAGAGATGACGGGGGCATACGACGAGAGCATGAAGTGGATGCGGGGGTACGGCACCAGGTTGGTCTGGAACTCAGTGATATCGACGTTGAGGGCACCGTCGAACCGGAGGGAGGCAGTCAGGGAGGAGATGACCTGCAGCAAGATGTCAATTCAGCATCAGTACCATGGCAGCGGGGTAAGATAAGACTTGACATGGAATAAGGCTAAATAGGAGGGGAACCCTGCAAGCGGATGGGACTGTGAACACTACATGGCCACATTCAAATGAATAGCAGAGGAGCTCTGCCAGACGCTGTCTGCTTTTTCAAGGTCTCCGAAGGGGACAGTAGGCTGATGTTGTGCCAAAAACTGTGGGGCCCCACCGTTCAGAATATAGAAGACGCTAACTCGGCTCTACTTTGTCTATCTGACATGGTGCCCGCTCCTGCTGAGACCAGAGCCATGTCCCTTGTCTACAAAGTGCAGTCCATCGTGGCCCAGAGACGGGGTACTGTAAGAATAGGATATATACCTGGGAGATCAGCCTGTTCAGGTTGGTATACGTCGGGCGCTCAATGTCCAGGGACCTGCGGCAGATGTCGTAGATAGCCTCGTTGTCCAGAAGAACAGCGACATCAGTGTGCTCCAGCAGGGAGTGGGTGGACAGGACGCTGTTGTAGGGCTCCACGACAGCGGTGGACACCTGCAAAAGCAGCAGAAAACGACTTAAAAATGCTGGCAGGCCAATTGAACTTTGAAGATAGGATTCATGATTCTTTGACGATAGGATTCATGCTGATTCAGCATGACAATAGGATTTGTGCAATTGAGCTTGAGAGAGGAATTAGTGCCAGAAATAAACAGTATACGTAGCGGGTGGGGCTTTAGGGTTAGGGTTGCACACTTGTCGAGAGTGCGACAGTCTCCACTTTGAGCGCAGGGCCGTTGGGAGAAAACTGCACTGCCTGCTTGGAGAAGTGAAGTACAAGCCTCGTTGCCTCAAGCCCCTTGGTTCGCGGCAGAACTGAAAGAAAGGAAACTGCATAGGCAAAGCAATTTTGCATCCTATCAATGAGTTATTGCAGGATGACTTTGTCTTACCTGAGGAGAGGGGTAGATGGTGAAGCCCAGCTTGGACTTCTTGCCATAGTCAACCGACAGGCGCTCGAGCAGGAGGGAGCCAAGGCCTGCAAAGAGGACGGCAGACCCCTTAGAAAGAAGAGTATGCAGAATATGGAGAGGCCAAAATTACATGTACGAGAATGTGGGGCCTGTTTGTAACAGCACCTTGATAGAAGCTTCTTGTGAAGATGTCCATATTGATCTGTAAATTAACTGCTGAACCTTGAATTCGTGCAGATGGAGGGTCAAATGGTACGCAGCTATCCTGGCACTCCCGCTCTCAACTTGCGTGGGCCCCGAATCCTGACTCCCATAGTGCTGAACGTGACACAAAAAAGCTGCAGCCGCATACCTGATCCTGTGCCTCCACCGACGGCGTTGAACACCAGGAAGCCCTGGAGGCCAGTGCAGTTGTCCGCAAGCTTGCGGATACGGTCCAGGCAAAGGTCGACGATCTCCTTGCCAACTGCAAAATAGGACAAGGCGTCAGTCAGAATCTGTTGCAAGAAGGACAACTTTAAAAATAACTGAAAGAGATCAACTGAATGCAATCGGAGGCCTTTTCTGCAACAAATAGCAACAATCCACTCTACTCTGGATCATGCAGCAGTTGCAAAATGAAAGGCCTCATCTGCAACACACAACATTCTTGCAACCAGGCAATTCAGAGGCTGGACCAGATCTGTAAGACATGTCTACTTACTGGTGTAGTGGCCCCTGGCGAAGTTGTTGGCGGCATCCTCCTTGCCGGAGATGAGCTGCTCAGGGTGGAACAACTGGCGGTACGTTCCGGTCCTCACTTCGTCAATGACTGATAGGACAAGGAAAAAGTGATGCGTCAGAATCTAGGTTTGCTGTGCTGTGCCAACAGCAAATGTGGATAGAATGCAAGCACCATTACTTGACAGCATACAAGAGAACAGCCCCTGCTTCTGCAACAATTGTTGAAGATGCGACTGACAAATGGCCCATTTCTGATGGATCGATGAAACAGACATGAATACTGTGTTTCCAATCCTGCTTCAGAATTCGTCCAGGAATAGCCAACGGAGGGTCTTACAAACTGATAAAGCAACATTAGGAACAGGTGCCACACATCAACCAAATAAGCACTCAATCGAGTCTCAGTTCTTACCAGTGGGCTCCAGATCCAGGAAGACTGCGCGAGGCACGTGCTTGCCGGCGCCAGTCTCGCTGAAGAAGGTGTTGAAAGCATCATCTCCTCCTCCAACGGTCTTGTCGCTGGGCATCTGGCCATCAGGCTGGATGCCATGCTCGAGGCAGTAAAGCTCCCAGCAGGCATTACCGACCTGGATACCGGCCTGGCCAATATGGATGGAGATGCACTCTCTCATGGTTGCGGTTGGGGGGTTGACGGTGGAAGGGTTGGGGGTGAGGAGGGCAGTGAGCAGAAGGGGGGCTTCGTGACGAGCGCTGCAAGGACGCTCACACGAAAGCAAGGGAAAGTTTGAAGAAAGTGAATCGCGAGAAAACCTTCCAAGTTCAACACCCAAAATTTGCTTGGAAAGACGAGAAAGCAGCTCTCTGCTCTGAATCGATTTGAAAGTCGCACCAAAAGCATTTTCCTGCGCGACTTTTGCGGAGCCAAATTCGCGCACTCCCTGCTACCTTATTTCTCCCCAACCTGTTGCTTGCGCGGGTCGAAAAGGATTGCGCGGTTTGTGCTGTAGGTAATTTGGAGATCTTTGCCCCGACAGATTTCCGCAACTGTCAAGCGTCTGATCGGACGGCTCAGATTGATTTAAAGCGCCCCCGCGCGCAAGTTTGGACGGTTTGCATCGTATACTGTCAGATTTTCATACCGCAATTCAATCGACGGCTCGGAAGTAGGGTGCTGAGTTACGGCGACTATTACTTCAAGACTGCGCCGTGCGGACCAACAGTGCAAATCGACGGTTCATACTTTGGGTCTTCGCGAGCTAGTACCTAGTAGTACGTCGCGCATACTGGCAACGTTCGCTTGAACTAAGATTCGAGTCACCGGGGAACTCAAACTAAACCCTAACCCAAAAAGATGACGCGCTCCGCACCCGAACCCACCCTAACCACCAAACCAACCCCACCCGTCTCCCGGGCGCGTATCTTAGTTCACGCGCCTGTTAGTTCAAGCGAACGTTGCCAAAGTTAGCGATCCGATCGCGCGCGAACCGCATGATAGCTAGGCCGCCCGGGCCGAAGTTGGAGCCCTGCACGAGCCCGGCCTAGCTACACCTACTTTAGTAAGTGGCAGGCCAGGAACCATGCACCCACTTATCATGTTAAAGTTGTAGCTAGAGTTGAAAGCTATGCAGGCCACCGAGCGGCGGGGCCATGCAGGTCTATGCGGTGCTAATGCCCCGCAGCTAAGCGCTATGGGCGCGACCCAATGTTCTGCTAGGCCAACAAAAATCCGGCCCCGGACAAGTTGATTGGATCCACATGCAATTTGGAATGATCCGATCACATCATTAACTCGTAATGCAGAGATGCGAGCAATTTCGTCACCCCATATGTTTCGCCAGCACTAGGAACCGAGAGCTAGTGACAAACACACACGCAACACTGAAAGCTCAGGTCAGCTCGTTTAGCACATACTCATGGCATTGCTACCGTGCCGTAGAAAATGACCGTCCTTTTTCAAGTATCCAATTGCTTTTTGTCTCGCTAGGTCCGGCAGTGCGCCCGCGGTACGTCGATCTCGATTCAATCTCATTCTTCGCAGGCCGATCTCGAATTCAATGAGGATGCCCCTAGCAGAATTACCAATTGATTGCTCAGGTCTGTGACGGCGGCATCCAAGCAGTAGTTTCTTGCAGGACGGATTTCATGCGCGTGCTTCTACTAATGGTGTGCTTTGTACGTTTCTGATGTTTGGATACGTTCACGGTGACAAGTTGTGCCGAATTTTGTCATGTGAACACAATGCACATCTACCTTCCGACAATCTATACAACCCGCTGACTGCACCTTAAGTCCTGAAATCAAAATGTTGTGGACCTTCAGGACCGTGAGGATTCAACTATATCGTCGCTCAAGAAAGCTATATGCGCCTCAGCTGCCGAGACTGCCGCTGCGACAAGGCTTTCGTCTCGGCTCTCAAAGCTCAACCTGCCCACAAGAAGGATATGCCCGATTGATAAAGTGCCTGTTATTAGTTGTGTCTTCAAAGGGCATGCATTCGGGGCTTGAGTCATGGGGAGAGAACAAATGTTTGTGCGGGACGAACAAGGGCCCGGTAGTAATGCCTCTAAACGGAAGAAAAAAGGAAAAGCATTGGATTAAGAGGGAAATAAATGGAAGCATTGAAAAGGGACTGAGCTGGAAATAGCGTGAAAACAATGAAAAGGTGAAAAGGATGCAGGTAGACCTGCTGAGCCTCCGAAGGAGCGTCACTTTCAAGAAACTGCTCAAACTGATGATTTCGTACGGATTGAAGTGGAAGTGAAGAATGAGTACGCTTCGACCGACAGAACGGGGATGAAGAGGGGCACACGCGGCCCTAGAGTGAAAGTGCTTCAGTCTAGGCTGAATTTTCACGTCCGCCTTAGCATCAGATCAAACCAGTCGCAGGATAAAGAGGAGGCTCCATTTGACTTTGGTTCGCACTCTCGAAAAGGTGAAAGAAAGCAGCGTAAGAAGCTACGAAACGGAGTAAGGGTCAGAGCGCCGTGTCATTGGGATTGATCAGTGTCGTTTCCGCCCGACGAGCTCCATTGGAAAAACTTCAAAGTACAGACCAAAGCGTCCGAGACATGACCCAATCTGCCGCACCAAAGCCAAAACTGCGCCTGAGCAGTTGAACCCGTGTACCTTGTCGGCAGTTTTTTTTGAAATCGTAGAGCGAGCAAAGCCAATCAGCATTCGCTTGCGCAACTGCGGACTCAGTTCCGACAACTGCACTCACTTGGTCGTGTACGGAGCGGACGGTTCCGTGGCCGGGTAGCTCCCGATCGCAACCCCGGGGAAGTCCTTGGCCACCTGGGAGAGTGCCTCCGCCAGGTCGCCTTCGCCCTGGGGGGGGGCGAAAGGAGAGTGCCTTTAACGGGGGGTAAAAATGTGGTGATTGCCGGAGGAGTAAAAGGGACTGTGTTGTAACGGGGGGTACATGGTTTGATGAGATGATTGGCCCTTGGGGGAAAAGGCAAACGACTGAACAAACAACTGAGCCGGGGGCTGCCGGAAGCCTAGGAGTAACGCATCCGAGTTGATCTGGATGCAAGGAAGGACTCTTACTAACCAGGTTGGAGAGGGATGATGTGGACGCGCGCCACGTCTCACCTGCTTGGTGAACAGATTCCGTCGGCTGTAGAGCGCCCCCGTAAACCGCTGCGCAGCAACGAGATGTTAAGATCAGTAGTTCCCTTCCTTGCCTTCTCACTGGGGGCAAAGGCATGCTCAGCAACCGGCTGAAACGATGGAGTACAGAGCAGGTGTTGACGTGCGCAACTCAAGAGTTCCTTCGGAAAAGAACTGGAGACAGAACTACGAGAGAACAGAGCCAAAAGCAAAACCTTTAAGGCGGCTAGAAGGGCTTCGAAGCGAAGATGTACTCCATACTTGGTTGGCAAGTAACACGCAACTTTTACTTGCTTGAGCCGCCCGAAGTTGTCGCGCCGACCCATGAATGCTGGTTCGCTTTGAGCTTCATCGCGCCCGCACAGAATAAGCCGCTGCCAACGTCTGAAAGGACCTAGAACCCGGTTGATTACCTGATTTCAAGCTGCCACGCTCGGGTGATACCATGTCCAGCCTTTCTGGTTGAAGCAAACTCACGTCCCAACAGCCAGCGAGGAGGAAAGAAGTCCGCACAGAATCTTGATGTGAGCGGTGCGTACCTCCTTGGCGGCATCAATCATGGCGTTGAACAGTCGCGGGATGCCCGGGAGGACGTACACGTTCTTCACCACCGCCAGGGGCACCCAGCGTCCGGGGGTATACAGCACCTCGCAACCTGAGAAGGAACATGAGGAGCAATTTGACGAGAGTCGCAGATTGAGAGAGTCGCTTTGCTTGGTCCAGAAGCGACTATCAAGGAGGATTTACGACTTCTTTGTCCAAGCACGAGACTGTGTCTCAAAAACTCTGCATAATGTAAGCGTCGAAAAGATCGACGCACAGCCGGAGGCGGTAAATGATGACGGCGGCCGCCACTTCGAATGGTGACGTCATGATTCTTCATCGTGACTTCATAACTTTTAGTGGTGACTTAATGACCTTTTGGTGACTTCACAACCTTTAGTTGTGCGCCGCTCAGAGCTCTCTCCATTTAATGTGAAGACAGGTAGCATACACATACGTTTCCCTTCCTAGGTAAGACAAATGGCAATCCGCAGCTGAAATCGGGAATGCTGAACGTGCAAAGTAGGCTGACAGCCCGCACGAAATCAAGCTTCCACACCGACTGAGCCATATAATGTCAAACAAATTTTCTTCAGGACACTCAGTAAGCGGGGGGTGGCAACCGGACGTTCAGGCGGTCAAGACATGAAACAAGCGCGCAGCCAAAGTTTCGAAAGAGCAAGCGGAAGAAAGCGCGTTTCTCTGACCCGTTGGTAGCGTGGCCATCCGTAGCCGCGCCTCGTTGAGCACCTTTCCTAGCGCTTCGTAGTGTGTGCGCATTTTCTGCAGTGGGAAGGGAAACCATTAGGGTACGATGAAGTTACAACCCTCGCGGCTGACTTGCTGACTTGATGCAATACACCAGGCAGACGGCCCCAGCAGCTGCGAAGGAGCGACTTTCTGCCGTTTGTTCAAACAGAATGGCATTCATCAGCAAAGTCTTCTGCCGATCGCCCGAGCTTTCTTTCGAGTGTTCTACAAGCTTTTTGGCTCGTAGAGCGACGGCGTTTCTCAAAGATTGTGTGGAGCTTTGCAAGGCCAGAATTTGCCCAGAAGGAACTCGGGAAAGGCAGGAGCTGTCGAATCAGTTTAGCACGCTTTCATCTGAAACTCCGCGGAACGAAATACGGCAGAACCAGCAGATCGCATAAAAAGTGGGATATCTACAGGACCACGAAATCAGATGGTCCAACTGGGCCCCACCACGACGGTGACGACATTGACGCCTGAGCGGAAATTACTGCAAAGTGTCGACTGTCGGAACCAATGGGCCCAAGTTTCGCTTGTCATTAGACCGCATGTAGGAACATTCCGTCTGCGTTTCTTATTGAAATCACTTTTGTGCGACCAAGCTCCCTATGGTAAGTACAGTGTGTCCTGCCGTCAGTAAAAGCCTCACTTTGTGCCAGGAAGTTGACTAGAGGTACCCGGTCGAAACAACCCACCTCGACTGTGGCCTGGTGAAGAGACAAGTCCGTACTGCACGCCTTCGCAACTGCCGCATAGGTGACGTCATCGTGCGTCGGCCCGATGCCGCCGCTGCCAAGAGAAGAGAGGATCAATTTGGTTGAAAGGGCTGATGCGGTACAGACCTCGCTTTGACGGTCGTCAGGACTTTCAACCCGACTCAGTCCGTGTCGATTTGCGAGGCCAGCTTTCAGGCCCTGTAGAACCAGGTCAGACCTGCTGGAGTAGTCTCCTCCGACATTCGTCCTTCCGTACTCTCGGTGCAGAGGCGCCAGGATGAACAGCATGCGCAACGTCTATGGACTGTCCTGATGATCCGAAGACAGGTCGAGCAAAAAACAGACTCGATAATTGCCAGTCGCCGACTGCAATCACCAGGAAGTGGGGTCCTGTTTCTTGCGGGAGCTCCTATTGTGACTTTCTCTTCCATTCTAACTCGCAATTTCGTCGTTCTCTCTAAGCACATTTACAACGTCATATCAACTCCAAAAGTGAAGCTCGGACTCCCGAACTTTCATGTGTGGATGAATGACATCAGCTGTTACAAAAGTGCAGCTTGCCTTAAGGTCAGCGTTCATGTAACTGAAAGCGTCCTTTTGTCGTGTAGCATCGCTGGCCCCTTACCTGGTAAAGATAAAGCCCCGGTCCTGGCCTCCGACACGCTTCCACAGTCCGTGGATCGACTCGACGATGTCCTCTTCAATGTCAGGGACTACTTCGACTCGCACAAGGTCAACGCCGCGGCTAAAGAGAAGCTTGGCTGGGAAGAAGAGATGTAATCAGCAACCACCCCCGAGTATTGCAACGACCCACTTCAAGTTGTGGTGCATACAAGACAAAGGTGGATCCGGACCTTGATGTTACATTGACGCCTTTTGAGAGAGTAAGTCTTTTGAAGTATTTCGGAAGTCGCGTTTTCGTGCAGAAAGCATAGCGAAAAGAAGGGGACTTTTGGACCGACTCCTTTAAACACAAAGCATCGAACATATGTATCCTCAAACTTTCTGCAGGCCAGGATATCAGCCACGTAGTCTTTGATTCTTGACAAATGTGGACAGGTGATCGCGCTAGAACGCTGTCGACGACCTCAAAAGCTGGTACATTAGAGCTGGGAAACACCAAGTCTCTTTCACTTAAGAGTTCCTGGTGGATCGTATGAAATGCTGCCAATCGGCTGACCAGTTGGAGAGACAAAGATCAGGGGAACACCAGCTACGGCTCAATAGTGTGAAGCCGGGGGCAACAGACTGCAGAAGGCTGATGATGTAGACTGAAAGATGCCAGACGTTCTTACAACTTTTATGTCAAAAGAAGTATGTTCTCACTTTGCGTTTTGAGCCAGGGCATGCTTGAAACAGGAAACGCATGCGTAAGGACGTCTGAGGCAGACGAAGCAAACCCAACAAGAGTGTGAAATGGGGGAAAAGGGCATGCAAAGATGGGAGCATTAAACGGCTGCCCTACCTAATGTTGCTGTGTTTGTGTCCTGGATCTTCCCCGTCAAGATCTCATTGCCTATGATCAGGAGCGCCGCACGAGGATTCTCAGGTTGTCCAGGAGTGTCATGGCTCAAGCTTTCCCCCATGCCACTCATGGACGTCACAGAAGCCCGCCCCAATGCTGCGATACCAAAACTTCTTTGAAGTCTCAAAGGTTGACATGAGGCGACTACTGATCCTGACTCTGGCTGGCTGCGAGCTACTCTATGATGGGGTAAATGAGTTGCGCTTGTCGTAAGGGAAGGTTGGAGTGGAAAGAAGCTTTGACTGGGGGAGTTGAGAGCGGTGCAAGTCCGCAAACTTGTGACACTACTGAAGGAATGGAGCGACGGTAGGCAGGACCCCTGTTGAAGAGCAGCCATACCTGCAGGAAAGCATCGCCAGGACTTTCAACTCGGATCATTCATCCTTTGCTGGATGATTTCGACAATCAATATTTCACATGCAGATGTGGCCCTTGCTTTTGATGTCAAGCAGGCAGTATTGTAAGTTTGGTGGTTCCGGTGGTGCCTTTGAATGTAAAGTGTACCAAGGCACCGTCCGTGATCGACATGAGCACAGGTTTCGACATGAGAAGTGGTGTCGTCAAGGTCAAAGGCTGGGGTGGGATGAAACATAAGATACTATTACGATGCAAGGGTGGTGCGGGCTGCAATCACCCTGTTGATGCTTGATGGACCTTCACAAGTGGTGGTACAAGAGGAGTGACACGAGGAAAACAGTGCACACGCATTTTCTGAAGGGAAGATAAAACTACTAGCGAGTACGTAATCTTACAATAGGCTGAGGTGTTTCAGGACGCATCTTGAATTGCATAGTGGTTACAAACTTGCAATGTCCTTGATGCAACAATTGACTGGCGTACATCAGGGGACCGCAATGCTGCCGATGACCACCTTGTTGTGTCTCGACGATTGGACTAAAATGGAGGTCAATCAGATTGATCAGAACTGCTTTATTGGATGCTGACCTCCAACTTGATCTCGGTATCAAGGCGTTGGGCAAGCTCACCTGGCCTCCAAAGTAGCTTAAGCAGGTTGGAGCTCTGCATGAGCCCAACCATCGAGCGAGACGCCATGCACAGACGCTTTCAAGATGCTGCTCCCTAAACGTGGAGGGGTCCTGCAAGTTGCAGATCACAGGCTCTTGAACAATAGGAACTCAGAGTAGAAGATGGCCATGGCCCAGGGCCCTTCAGGCTTCAGTGAAGAGAGGCTTCAGTTTTTACTTTGCGCCACCCAGAAAGTTTAGGGTTTGCAAGAGCAGAGGAAAGCAGCAGCTTGCACCAATAGGGTTTGCGTTTAGGGTTTTGGAGGCCGGCTATAAGAATTTCTGCTACCAACCCCCTACCAACCTAGCTTGCGAGAAGTTGGATATAAAGTCTTCCAATGGCAAGGGGCGCTTGTTCGACGCTTTTCCGTCAATCCGCTGCGCATTGCATGGGGCGTTTAGAAATCAAGGCTCCAGTGTGATTGGGGCGTGGCCAATCATTTACTAATACAGTACATCAAGCTTGTTCCTGAAGTGGCAGCAGGGCGCTCGTTTGGAAGGGGCCACCATGTTCTTCCACATAGTCCTGGAGCGCACAATGCTCCTGCACCCGCGCTTCTTCGGCCCCAAGCTGCGCGACACGCTGACTCATCAGCTGTTGCAGGATGTCGAAGGTCGATGCGATGGGAAGAATGGATTCATCGTGGCGGTCACCAATGTGGATCCCAAGGGATCAGGGGAGATCACGTCGGGGACCGGTATGGTGAAGTTTCCGGTGTCGTACAACGCGCTGGTGTTCCGGCCGTTCAAGGGGGAGGTGCTGGAGTGCGTGGTGACGCAGGTCTTCAAGGTGTGCGCACTCGCTGTGTTTGTTGGAATGCGTTGAGAAAGTTGCTACACTGCTCCGCTTAATCCGCTTAATCTGCATTGTTGCTTGCAATTCTGGAGGTGGCGGTGTGACTTTCTTCTGCAAAAGATGGTCTGTTTCAAAAGATGGTCTGTTTCTGATATTGCTCCCTGCGGACCTTCGTTTGATGGACGATGAGCATTTTGTTGTTCTGAGGGGTGAAGAGGAAACTGCTGATTTTCCCCTCCTTGCACATCAACATTGTCCTATGCTTTGACGGCCAAACTTGCACACTGTGGCTCTATTGAAAGTAAGCGGACCTGAAGGGGGTTGTGTGGCCCAAAAGTTGCCGGCTCTGCCAATATCTTCTCTGAGCTTGTGATTGCCAGAGCTGCAGTGGCCCCCCTCTAGAATCTCCTGGACTGAAGGCACCTGTGATCTGATTGGAGATGAATAGTGTTTAGCTCTGCAAGATGATGATTGTTAAGCACAAAGCTTGCGTTGTTTTCAGAAGAGGCCTTTTGTATACTCCCCATCTTCTGTACCAAGAGTGTTTTACCGGACAGCCGTTCTTGTCGCCCAAGGTTGGCAAAGGAGCAAGACTCCTGGAAACTTCAGCAACTTGCCTTCCAAGCTGTCCCAAAATCGGGTCTTGGTTAGGTGGAGAATGCTGTCAGAACGGATGGAAGGAGAACAGGGACTCCCGGCGGACTCCCTAGGTACCCCCTTCGGCTATAACCCCTTCGATCGACGGTCAAACCTGGTAGACCTGATCAACCTAGACCATCGATCCTAGAAGGCAATAGCTAGCAGGGGTTTGCAACATCGGCTCGGGAGTCCACGTTCTCCCTCCTTGTGTTTTGTGATCTTCTTTAACTTAACGCTGTTTTGCATGTCATGTTCAAGTGATCCTGAAGAGTACCTGTGGTTCAATGTTGGGTAGTCATTGGGCCCTGAGAAACACTTCCAGACTCAGACAATCTGTGATAGAGACGTAGCAATCAGCGAGGCCTGAATGTGAGAGACTGCTCTTTCTTGGCAGGCGCTGACAAGGCACCTCGGCCTGTGAAACTCCTACCATTGCCTCCCGTTTACTCCTTGTCGACCAAGAGCCACACTACGGTCATGATCCTCTGAGCCAACCCCCTGAAGCGTTCAATTTGTTGCTTAACATGACTGCAGAAAGTGGATTCTGGGAATTTCGCACAGTAATTCACACATTCGGGCTTCTAGAAGATCTCTACGCGTACTTACACGTTGTCCCCACTTGCCTGCAGATGGGGTTCTTTGCGGAAGCTGGTCCACTGCAGGTCTTCGTATCAAATCATGTAAGCCCAACGAGGATACTGTGTGTAAGATTCACCATCATTTTGAGAACACACAGATTGGGGTCAGGGGGATCACTTTAGTGGGGGCTGAAAGTTGAAAGGTACTTGAGACACTCACTCCCATAAACCTGACCTCAACTTTTGGGGGGAAATGAGGAATCATTGAAAGAAAGTCGTCAGAGGTGGCATGCTTGGTTGCAATCAGCGGTGGTTTGCGGTCTGCTGCGTGGCCCCAGACTTTGGTCTCTCTGATATCACCAAAGATCTAAGAAGAACGGGAAAAGCTGAAGGGACGAGATAAAGCAAGTCATTGTCGGACTCTTCTGTGACAGTTGATACCTGACGACCTCACCTTCGACTCCACACAAGAGCCGTGCTTCAAGTCAGACACTGGCGAAGTAAGTACGCTGCCTATCAGGAAAGACCTCAGTTTGAAGGCCATGCTAGTTGACTGGTGTATACACGTAACAACCTTTCGCTTGGCCTGTCAAAATTACATGAAGAAGAGTTGCAGTTTCAATAGTGCGCCGCCGCCGCCGCCTTCTTGAAAATGGCTTCTGCTCTCAACGTTTCTTAGCTTTCAATCCGACTGTCTGCGTCAAGCTGAAGGCAAACCGGAATGGTTCTTTCCGTGTATGAGCATAGCCGTCAAGATATTATGCTGTTCTATCATGCGGGCACCGAGTCCCTTTTCAATCAATTATTGATCGCCCTCGAGTATTTGTGCTGCACGTATCTTGATATCCACCGAAAACATTGCCGCAAAGTCGGTCGCAAATCTGCTTTTTGGAACTTTTCGAACATATCTCGGAGTTGACTGACCAGCAATGCAACCCTCTTGCAGTGGCGGATACAGAAAGAGACGGAAGTGCGGCTGAAAATAGTGGGCATGCGAATAGATGCGACGAACATTGTAAGTGAAGCACGCTCCGTGCTCGAGACCTTGTCTGAGCCGCAAATCGAATGCGATTCGTATCTCTCTCCGGTTTTCCGTAAATGCCAAGCGGGGGCAAGAATGTCTGCGTGACCAGAAATTGGAGGCTCAAATCCGATCAGATACTTACCTTTCGAGACGCAAACCGAGCGTCTACCGGGTGAACGAGGACGACTGCATTCCTACAACGGCAAGTGCAAGCTTATACATGTTCGGCTAAAGCTTGGCCCTCCAGAGACTTCCTTTACGCTCAAGTCCCTTCGCTGAAGCTTTCTCATCGTTTCGCAGAGCGCCATTGGAACGATTAAGGACGACTTCTTAGGCGAAATAAGGGATGACGCAACGGGCACATAAATCTGCGACTGGCTGGGTTGTTGACACTGCATCGAAGCGCTTCCTGGACAATCGCAGAACTCTTTGGCTGTCAAGAATTGTCAAAGAGTCAGCTGTGTATCGTCAAGCTCGTCGTGTAGCTGTTCTGGAGCAATCTCGACTAGTCGGATAGGCGAGCAAGAGGGACATACGGCCATGTAAGAAGCAGGCAAGCGTCTTGGTTCTAGAGGTCGATTCGGGCAGCTCCTTCAAGGTTCTACAACTCTAATCAATCTCGTACGGATGGCGACAGAGCGTCGGAACAGTTACACAGGGGCGAAGGTCAGCAGGGCAACATCAGTTTTTCAGAGTTCTCTGTTGCTACTTCATGACTCGCTTCTCTAGCTCGCGAAGTTTGGCACCTTTTACCGGCGCTGCACACGCAGTAAAACTAGTGTCGACACTGTTTTCCCGTCTGATCACTTTGCGAAGTAGCAAGTTCTCAATCGAGGGTGCGGCAGTTGCGCTCTGCTGATCATTTTGCCATTGTGTCCAATGGGCGATCGACCCCTGCGAAGTTCAATACTCAAAAGGATCTACAGGAATACATATATGGAGTGCTCGGCGCAACGACCTAACTGTAGATTCTTAACCAAGTTATATGAGGAATAAATTGCAAATCCGGTGATCCGCTTCTAGTTCTTTTTCAGAGGTAGAAGTGTGGCATAATTCAACCGCTTGCCTGAGGACCATGTCCGGTCACGTTTGGTGTTCGATCGTAGATCGAATGGTCAAACCTGGCCATGAGACCTATCCAAATCGAGTCAACGGCGACTTTTTGCAATAGGTTCGGGACCGCTGACCTTGCCCATGTCAATTGTGAGGTGTCTTGACCCCTTGAGCCACATGCGCGCCACTCAAAGATTTTGGCATATATAAAGAATTGGGAGTGGTCGATAATTAGATTTGATTTACATGGGTATTTATAGCTATGTAAGTTCGCCAGGGGCCATATGCAGGGGTACGTTGCCAATTCTCGCCGGCGTTTGGGCGAGTGAGGCCAGAGGGAGTGAAGTACAAGAAGTAGAGGGGATTGCATTGACATATTGAATTGAACCCCCTGCTTGCCCCGATGGTCACTTGCAGCAGAACGTGTCCCAAGCACCCCTGAAGCAAGAGGACAGCGACCAAAAACCCCAAAAAACCCATCTATCTACACCCCGATCTACACTATCTACCCCTTACCTATAGCCTATCACCAACCCAAATGAGGAGCTTTTCCAGTGCATGGCTGAGAACCTCTAGGATAGGCTGAAGCTATCGAGCCGAGTCAGACCTGGAAGAAGTGTCTACAGCGACCTGAGGCTGGCTGGCGCACGGCTGGCGGACCTTAGCAAATAAGCCCATCTCAAAAGCTGAAGTGGCGTGGTATCATGGGTTTCTCCGGTCACATGGAGATAGCGCACTCCCTGTGACTTCAAGAAAGCCATCGCTGTTCCGATTGTTTCATGCGCTATGCCACGAGGTGGCAACTCATGTTTTAAAACG